GAATAGAAATCGCGGGTAGAAGTGTTAGAAAATTTGTAAACACTCGAATGCCGATGAACCAAACAATCTCGGGACATCTGAATGGAAGTGAATCGACTGAAAAAATTTCCTCGATTGTGTGAATTATGGTAATGACTCTGAAAGGATATGAAAAGAGAACGTTTAAAATCAAAAATCCGTTGACAAAGACTCGTAAAAATCCCATGGGAAGGCTATTCACAATCACATCTGGAATATCTGGGCTTAACGACAGGAAAGCACAAACTGAAAAAACGATCTTGAGGATTGCAACGAAGGTATAAGATAGCGCAAGTATATTGCGGAACTGTGATCTGTTTTGCAAGCTTTCCTCGACTCCTGGCAATACAGGATGACAAATGTAGCTGAAGATTATAATTGCTAATGAGACTGGCGCGTCATCGATATTCCAGACTAATGTAAGGCTAAAATTCCACTTAGAGCCATGTACTATGCCAAAAGCTAAGACAGCTATTACTGCTACTGATAAAGCTACAACACTCACTAAACTGAACCATGCAACCTGTGAAAGATTCTTTACGAAAATGGTCGGGAACCCAATTGTAGCTGCAATGACCATCCAAATTTTATGGGACACCGGTATCCCTGGAAATATACTGCTTGAGAGCGAGGCGCATAAGACAAGATACAAAGACGCCAGCATAAACAGTTCGATCAGCTGGACAGCGACAACAATGGCACCACCAAAGCGAGGCCAGCAGGCCTTACCGAGCTCCTTATAATTGGACCTGACTCGAATTCTTTCGCCTTCGTTGTTGGTCTCATACAGGCACTCTATCAATATAGCTCCGGTGTAGTAGGTGATAAAGGGAACCATGACCAGAGCTGCTATCGTTACCAGGCCACTCTCAGCAATCACGTAAGGAAGAGCGAGGAGGCCGGTGCCCTCGATATCACTCATGAGGTTAGCAACCGCTTTCCATAAGCTCGACCTTTTTGCAGACTCTTCATTTTGATCGACCGCGTCTTCTTCTTGGATCAGGATTTTTTTTTCATGTTCTTTTCCTTCTCGTTCTTCCTCTCCTTCTTCAGTATGGTTTTTCAGCAAATGATAACTGGTAGTTTCAGACATTTTGCTGCGCAAAACAATCTTGTTATTTCTGAGAAAAATAAGTTACTCTGTTTGGATATGGAATGTAACAGCTGTTTATCAATAATAAATGCGAATCAAATGTTCCAAATTCCCTTCCCCCCTCCCCAGATATCGAAGGAATTTTGTTCGCTAAACGAGAACCATGAAAAGTCATTCAACACCGTGGAAAATGTTGTGGCTCACGTCTTCTCGTAATAAAGATCAATAATGGCGCACGAAGTTGACTACATACATAAGTGAAGGCCGAAAACGCTCACGGTACCGTTCAAAATTACTTGATGAAATACGACAACTATAATATTTGAAACTATTACCTTTTACGGTAAAATATCAATTCAGTATCTATTTTTGACAGGTAACAGTGGAAATTTACGAAATGAAAACGTTTACAATTTGACGTAATGAACAAAATTATGACCAAATTTAAACATGCGATCAGAATGGCAAGCAAGTCTTTTGAGGCACCCTATTTTTAACGCTAAAAGTGAACTTCCTCGGAACGATACGCGGCGAAATTTGTTCCATCCGTTCTTACATGGATGGGACCTATAATATCTTCAGATCACTTCAAACCTTGCAATATAATGAGTTACCTCTATATGGAGTTCTTGCAGCTAACATATGCTTAAGATATAAACTAAATACTCAATGGTGTAGTTCCGAAAAAAGTCGTTTCGTTTCTAAAGGAAAAATCTACATATTTATGATATGTCATTTAAATTTCCTTCCGCTTGATAATAAGGTACTTTGGTGTAGAATTATATCAAAAAAATTTTCTTAAACACTCAGCTGTTTAGAAAAACGAAGCACGGTTTCTTTAGATGTGTTTTTATTCAACTAGAAGACTATTCTTCGTGTTCATGTTTATATTGCAATTCTTAAAATGTGTAGTATAATAACAAAACTAAGATACAAAAGGCCGTAAAAGATATATTGCAAGAGTGTTTTTTTTATTGTTATCCTGTATTTAGTGGGAAGGTGGAAGCTAATTCGGAAATCACTGCTGGGTTCAAGTGAAAACAATTAACGATTATTAACGTATTTTGGGTGATATTTGAGAAATTCGGATTCAGGAAAAGTTGGGATACTCGGATTGGTTGAAATTTTACAAAGAAGTAAATAGCTTGTGCATAAGTTTACTTTTGTCATGGTGCAATAATTGTTTTCAAAATTATTTTAGATGAAGAGAAAAAAATCAAACAGGTGAATTTTGAATATACTACAATGATTCTCTGCCGTACTTTATTGCACATTTTGCTGGCGATTTTAATAAATTTATCTTTAAGGAGTATCGAAGTGGACGAAGTGCTGCCAAAGAAAGAACTCACCACTGATCAGAATAAGATGAAGTCTTCTGTGAGTCGGTCACTGCAACTGGCTACTTAAACATTTGTGCAAACGAAGACAAACGAACGCCGCTGGATACGATTTGAAGTCTTCTTATTGTGCTCGACGTAGGAGAACGCAAACTATTGATGTTGTAATTTCAGTTCCACGTGTATTCATGGTATCCCGCGGGTATCGATCTGAAGCCAAAGGCCGGAAACCAGCCCGTTCCAGCTTTTCGACGCCATCTTGGCCTGACTGACACACATGGCTTCGGTCTCATGCTGGTATCTATTCACCTCGATCTCATGATTTACTGAGCGTCGCTTACCATTGGGTCTCTGTGGCTCAGTGGTAGAGCATCGGAGCGTGGTTGGTCTGAAGTTCGATTCCTCACGGAGACTCAGAATTTTTCTTTGTCATACGCGCGTGACAAGACGATAAACACTTTCGCTATTTTTTTCATCTTACTTATGATATTCATGTTGTGATTGAGTCAGTGTCTCGGGGTAGACTCGTTTCAATTCAGTCTCTGTTGTATAGAATCTATTCTATTCTGTTTTTTGATATTAAAATATTTTGTTAAATGTTAACATTTTCAAACCGTCAGTTTAGGCGAAAATTAATTGAAATAATCACATAGTTAATATATTCAGAAACCTAACAGTCCCAAAGATTCTTCGAGAAGCAGAACTGTCCTTGCAAGCCTTTAAAATGATGAGTTTTGAAAAATCCTCAAACTGTTTGGCAGCTGTTCCTGGGCTGCTTTTTTTACAGTTGACTGTTAAATTTTAGGAAAAAGGTAAGTTCCCAAAGAAACAGAGGTGCTGCGTCAGTGGGAGGTGCCACATATCGTACACATCTCAACGCACAACACGCAATTTACTTAATACGCTCTAAAGAAGGGCTAACACTTGAAAAGTCAGCTTCAGAAACTCCTTATGGTGGCCAATATACTTTATCATCAGTTGTATCCTTGATAAAATTTAACCGAGAAAGAATAAAGATTGAAAATCAAAGCCGAAATATTTACAAAGGTATTAATTATAGCTGGCCAAGATGTTTTCCAGTCTGTAATATTCTGTACTCACCTGTATCCGCAAACTTCATGAAATCACGACTAAACAGCTGGGATTCAACTGGTATCGGTGTGGAGATGAATTAAATACAAACATGAAACAAGTTTCTTCTCAAGGCTGCTGTTTTGGTCCTGTAGGAATTTTCTCGACAAACATTGCATGCGTTTCACTTATGAAAAAATTGTCATGTATTCATACAAGACTATAAAAGGCTACACGGTCTGCTGATCCGCACTTTAGTAACACCATTATTTGTATGCTATCGCAAGTCAATCGCGATAAACAGGAAAATCAGTCTATCTATTTCTTCCATAATAAGCTTCAAAACATGAATAAGAAGTTGTGATTAGACCTTTGGTCACTTATCGGTCTTTCTCTGACACTGGAAGCGTGCTTTTCAGTCCTCTGATAATAATTGATAATTACTTACAAAAACAGCACAGTTACGATGTTACAAGTATAGGCAATCACATGATTTTGAGTGCAATTTGGAATAATAAGCACGAGTAAACTAATAATACTTACAGAATTGCACCAGCCCGCAGGGCAAGTACAATGTACAGTTTGTGGTCTTTGAAAAGATTTACAAGTGCTTATTTATTCCAAATTGTTCGAGAAAAATCATGTGATTACGCATTAATAATATTCATTAAAAAAATACGAGGTAGCTAATAATAATGCAGAAGGACAGCGCGGATCGCAAGTGACATTGTGCGTTCGGTCAAAACAACTGCGTACGATCAAAACAATAATATACAATGATATTTTCACATCTTTAAGGCGCAAGAAAGTTCAAACTGTGGCTAAACAGTTCAAGGAATTGTTCAGCCTGGTTTGTTACTTCTTTGCACTGAATTAACCCTCTTCTGCGTTGACCTACCAGAAAACTGCATTTATCTTAACCCATCGCAACTGAGTAATTTTTTCAAGTAAAAAAATTTCCAATTTCACACGTGTAAAACCCGACTGAGACCCTCTGCACGTGGTTGATCGTAACAATTGCGACAAAACAGAGGAAATTGCCTCAATCCATTTTTACAGCAGTATCGCAAGCATATAAAAATCCTCTCTTTTTCAAACGGGAGGATTGACTTTCTGATGATAAAGGTTCAAGAGACAGGAAAAGGAATTCTATTAAGTCATCATTCGCAAAATGATTCATCTCGTTAATTTAACATAAATTCATGCCGACTTGGACTCTCTTTGGTAACTAACCATTGTGTTGTAGGTTATCAAGAGAAAATAATGAGTTTTATAGATGGCACAGTATTGGTGGGAAACTTAGTTATATTTTGTTCCTCAAACACGTATGTTAGCATAATTCATAATGCACAATATAGTCTAGACTACGAAGAGCCCCTGCTTTTCGGGGAAATCCGTCGCGCGATTGATTAAAAAAATTAATTGAAAAATTTTCGTAAACTTTGCCCTGTTTACTAGGGATAGAACTCTAACGAACTAGACTCAATCAAACTATTTTATTCCACTCTCGTATTCGCTTATTTACAACGGGTGTGTAAAAAGCTACTCTGCAAAATTTGTAAGAAATCACTCTCTTAGACGATATTCTCTACATTGTAATTGGTTGTTGCCAAGAACTGATTTAAAAGGTCATTCAAGGTTGCGTTGATCATGTAAACCGACAATGTCCCAAAATCACTTAAGGCGCTGCTTCTAGCTCTTGACATGATGTTCACACTCATCATCTGACATGTGTCACGCACGAATCACAAAGTCTCTGACAAAATATCTTAGCGCGCCGCGCGGAACTCTTTGAGGGTTCTGGGCGGCCCTCTAACATCCATATTTGCGCATTGATTTATTTTTGACTGGTGCGTCGGAATTCTGCGAAAAGGAGGAATTGCACGTCGTCTAAATAGAGTCTTGCTTCTAGAAAATGTATCAAGAAGCATAAAGAAGCCAAAAATGTCATGAAAACAGTGAATCTATGTGTTACAGTCAAGAGAATGTATTCTTTTGGTTACAGCGTGAATAAAATAATCCTTTGCCTCATATAGATTTCTAAAACGGATGGTAATTGCAATTGATTATTTGCAAAGACCGTTGAAGTAATTATCTGGTGCTCCAAGTGATACATTACGAAGACTAATACAAAACTACTTACTTTTCCGGGAAATCACTTTCTTTACAGCAATTTTCACTGATTTAGATCAAGTGGTGAACAAAATTGTAGGAGTTTGTGAAACAAAAGTGCCTTGTCACTTGTTAATTGTTTGTGCGTATTCAAAAAGTGTTCATTCTTCAGTAATTATTTACATAGATGAAATTCTGAAATATTGACAGATTTCATTAATCGTGCCCAGCAGTCTATCCCGAAATTGCATAGAACAACTGTTTTTCATCTGTGAGTAACTGCTGCAGTCTTGCCCCGATGCTGTTACGTGACGAGACACTGAGCACTTTCATCAGATTAACGCGGGGAACGAAGTAATGCGGCAAATCTTTTTTCGTGATACACTCCCGAATGTACCTCAACATGCCCAGGAATCTCTCCCCAAGCTGATCTGAGCGCCAGTCTTGATCAAGACTATGATAGTGTAGAAAGGCTGTTTTTAGCAGATGGAAATGAAAAGGGCGCAGCTTTCTGTCGGAATTGAAAAGGAATTTGAGAATTTTTAGACATTCCGTACGACAAGTACTTCCGGAACGGTCTAAACTGGACAGCAACTCTCTTTCACGCAGCGAAAAGGATTTCCGCCACAAAATCGCACGCTCTGTATTATTTTCCAACTCGAATTTTGTGTATTCTTGAAAAGCGCACGGCACGAAATATCGCGACATTCCGGCGTCATCCTCGATCTTTACACAAGGTACCAACTGCGCGGTTACAGAGCCTCCTCTATTAGTATCCCGGATAATCATCTCAACCGCTGTTCCATGCTTGTGAGTCCGCACTCTCGTTCCATCGGAGAATCTTTTTGAGCTTTCAGTCCATGTCTGGGCGACTTTTTCAAGTAAGTTTCGCATCTTATCAGGGCGCAGATAATCAAAGTTGTCTGTAAACTTGACAAGTTTCGTATCAGCTTGTTCAGTGTTCAATTTTAGTTTGGTATACAGTCCTGGAACAACTTCTTCGACTGAAACATCTTCGGAACCCGTCGTCAAGACAACCATAACTTCAAACTCATTGTTCTTCTTAGTTTCCAGTCTCTCATACATAGAGCCAGTGTACTCCATGTTACGAACAACCCCAGTCTCCCGCTTGCAAAACTCGAGCAGTTTCTGGGTATGGCTGTAGACAAGTTGTTTAGCCCACTGTGTGTCACTGGCTGGTAAGCGGACTGTTTCTTTATGGTACTTCCGCAGGTTTCTTAGTAACTCCTTAGGTCTTATGGGGTTAGATCTTAGTTCTGGTACCGACGCCGCAGTGTATAACATGTCGGTAGACGCAAACTGCGGAGAACTGGTACTTGGTGTTCCGGCGGACGAGATGTCGTCAAATGATTTCGGCTCTTGCTCATCTCTGCAATTATTCATATTTCATTGCAATTGGCGAAAACAGTCTTTTTTATTCATAAATATGATAATTTCCATCCAACAAGCGATTGCAAAGATACCGTCCGGTCTCACTTCCGTGCCCCCCTTTTCCCTAGGCTCCCCCCCATTCTTCCAAGGGCGCCCCCCCCCTTTTTTCCCCATCTACTAACTTGCCTTCTCTTCCTTCTCTCCTAATGAATTGTATATTTTAAATTCGCCTTTCAGATCGAAGGAGTATCAACACTTGAAAACCTTTAAAGATCACGATATATCTTCATGTATTCATATTATTACTCAGCGACTTGTACCTTAATTTCATCGTTGATTCTTGGCCCCCCATCTTCTGTTGCTCAAGGATATTGTGCCGTCCAAAATTTTCCTTCGCTGTAGGTATTAAAAGATAAGAATGTCCATCGAGTTTGTTTAATTTTAAGGGGCATTTAGTTGCAACCAACAAAAGAGTATTAAGTCGAGGTGATATCAATTGTTGAACTTTGATGACGCACCACGAAAATAGGGGCAAACTCAGTTATCGGTGGGCTTTTGTTGACTCTCTTTCCTTCAGACTAGCCTTGTGGAACATATTTCACTTGATCGCTCTTGCCCCTCGCATTTTAAACTTTGATAAAATATTCATTTCTTGTCTATGCCTTGAGGCTAGAGTAACTTAAAAATAAAGAATCAGTCTAGTAATTCAAATCACTGAGTAAGGAAATTTAAGTTGAAAAGCCAATTCCATAAAACAATTTCGATGGCACTAAATGACGGAAACATTATGCTTTGAAGGAATCAACAATTTCGTGATTTATGTACAACCAGTCTATATAATAATTACATCTGTAATTTACATCCCGCAATCAAGTCCGTTTGCATATTCTAAATGCAAATCGCCAAATAATGAAGTCTCTGGCAGCCCTAATTCTCTCAATCTTCAGGAAACATCGTCTAATCGTCAAGTTGGGAAGATTTCTGTAGCACCCCAGACTATTCTCAAACAATACCGTAGTCTCAAACACAATCGATTGTTTCGCCATTGTGTTCTTTATCTAAGAACTGTATGCATAATGAACTACTGGGCTCTGCGGAAATTTTGCCGTCAAATTTTGGATAAAACTTAAAAATAAGAAATTTTCGATTAATTGAGAGATAAAACAATTTGCCGGCCTTAGTATTGTTTGTACCTTGGGTGCCTGTAAATATGTGAACCATGAGTAATTTCAATTGTCTTTGGTTTTCTGTAATGTAATCGACGCAGCGACTCAAAATGTTTCATTTTAAGTCATATGTTAAAATACTACTGAACCGATATTTTCATCAACAAACTTAATCAAAACACCTGTTCCGCTAAGCACAATTTTTTTCTTAGTTTCGCCGGCAGCCTAAGCTAATCGAGTCCTTCGCAATTACTTCGCGATCGAGCACATCGATCGAGATACGGAGAGAAAATTGAATACGTGATGAGGTTACGCTCTAAATAGTACATAGACCTACATCATTAAACAGACCTTGGTATAAATAAAGAATCAAGGAGAAAGCATCCTCACCTTGTCAAATATTAACTTGTGGACTCCTCATGAAGTCTCGTAATTTTGATGTTTACAAATGTGTCAATTACGGCTATCCCATAACCCTGTGTGTGCGTTGACGCTCTAGGCTTGGCTCCTAAGCATATCGAGTATTGTATTGAAGATTTGAGGAAGGTTGGAATTTTCCCTAAATTTTGACGATCTATTGAGACATGCCCTCTGCAAGAAATGTCCGGAAAGATCCTTGGGAGCGATTTGAGGCCTGGAGATACCATCCGTCCATAAACAAGCACGCAAACATTCGCAAGTTTCTCCCTGGATTTTGGTGGGGTGTAGGAGCGTTTGTGATCGCCATCGGAATTGAGAAGTTACTTGAAAAACCTGATGATCACGGGGGACATCATTAACCAGAATGGATTATTTACCGCCTGAAAATACATTTTCGTAACTCTGAGGGAATAAACTATTTTTATGGATGCATTGAGACACACTTTTGTACAAAGGAACTTGGGAAAGTGACAGCAATATTTGTAATTGTTTGATTTCAAACCAGTGGAAGAATTCTCTGTGATTTTAATGGCAAGTTGGATCGTGAACTTTTTCTGTTAATTAATCCTGTTGTTTGTAACGCTTCTACTTGATGCTTGCCGGTCTGTTTGTGCGTGACATGAAAAAGTATTAAGATGTAAATTGCCTTTAAAATAATGTGAGGTGTTCGTCGGCTGATTTGCATTGTATGAAAATGATCTCTGATTTAAATGTAATTATTTTTTCAAGCCGTGTCCGGAACAAAAATAAACAGAAATTGGATTGTGTGCATCCAGAACACTGAATACAGCTCGAATTTATGGTCATTGTTGTTGTTGGACCATTAAGTTAGGGAATTTTCATTGTATTGCCTTTGTTAAGTTGCTCCCAGAAGTCATGCTCTTCATTGTGGCATATTGTTCATTCCTTGTCAGTTCTTGTAGGGATATAAAGGGCATAATAATACTAGTAAATCACATGTGAAGATCTCTTGATGTCCTTTGCAGTGATGAAAAATCATTGTTTAATGGAATAATAATACTCCTGAAATTTTACAACAGATGTCTGTAAAAATTTAACCCTTTACCTCCCATTTGTGACCAAGATAAAATTTTTTTCCCTAAAATATGAATTCACGAGCAAGAAGACAGGTGATCAGTCTACTTGGCAGCTGTTCTTAGGCTGATCATGCAACACCCCTCTTCAAAAACTTGAGAATAAAGAAAAATATCAATTGAGGGGGTTATTAGTTGATCCAATACCAAATTCTCCAAACTGACATCATAAGAATTAATGTAAGTAGGACACTGTAAAAAGTTTCGAAGCTGATGTTTTGAGGGTTGGCCCTTTGTCTGAGCAAATGACTAAGGGCTAATGCCAGAAATGTTAGCTTTGAAACTCTTTACAGTGGCCAATTTACATTATGAACTTGTTGATAACACGTAATTACTCTGTTACACTCTCCCACCAATGCAGCACCACAGTTTCCTTAGAAACTTAACCCCTTTAACATCAAAAGAATTGGCAGAGAATGAGGAGAATTAGAGATGAGATCTTTAGAATGAAAGAGCTAGTGGATTAAGATGAAAACTTCTTTTAAGGTTACTGTTTCACCATTTGAAGGCTGTGTATGCATATGAGAATGATCAGTTCATTTCACAAAGGGTGTTATTTGTCACTGTTCAGGGCACTAATTTATCAAATTTGTCTAGAATTACTGGAATACCACGTGAGTAAATAATGAATTTTATTTTCAGTTATTATGAGTCTTACATATTGTAGCTGCATGTAGATACTTAAAACCAATATCCTTCATTCTGTTTTCTTCAAGCACTCCATACTGGCAAGACTGGAGAGCAAAAGAGAAAAGTTCACTACCAGTATTTTGAGAGGTCTTGACTTTGTCTTGGTTTTCATATTGGTCTTTGAGATGCATGTATATGCATGCTTTGTTTTCATACTCCTGTCCAGTCAAATCAAATTTGTGGAAAAGGCAAGATAATTCAGTATGTACCAAAAATCATCATCCTACTGGAAACAGTTAAGAACAAACATAATGATTTTGGTTCAGTTTTTCTCAATTTTCCTGCCTCTCTTTACAATAACTCAGTCTGGTGACATTATTGACAAACAAATATCAGGATTGTGGTACAGTTATGAAAACCTACTCTGAGAAACAGCCAGTGAACTGAAAGATACCAAGAACATTCACTGCAAGTTAAATTTACACAGCTAAAGGTGGGGGGGGGGGGGGGTTTCAGCTCTTTACTTCATCCTTGTCAACATATTGCGTCAAATTTGCAATAAGGTTCATCTGGTTCTGTTCAAGGAGTGTTGTGAGTCTTCTTGAATGTTCTGTCACCATCTGCAATAACTGGCCATATTGTTCAGTTAAGGGTGGTAACTTAGCATAATCCACAACGCCTTTCCTTGAAAGAAGCTTCTCATCAACTTTACCACCCAATATCCCCATTTTTGGCTGTTTCTTGAGTTCTGTGAGTAATGTCTTCACTTTTGCTTCTCTGGAATAAGTGACAACTGTTGCTGCCAGAAACAGAGGGAGTATCTCCCTGTATTTGGTATTTTCCAATGCCTTGCATGTAATTTTGTTAGGGAACATCTTCACCCCAATTTCATCCTTGCGGAGGGTGTATCGTAAATCTTCCCATTCAGCTGTATTCATGTCACTGAACTGGCAAACAATCACCATGTTATTTGTTTCAAACACATGTCTGATTTCATCTGCTTTCATGAGTTTTCTGATGTTTGGCTGTGAACAAAACATAACAACATTTGTATTTTGCCTGTACACGTATATATTCTCATTGTCAGTACCAAAGAAATTGCATTGAAAAGAGTATGGAGAATCTGGATACTGATCACAAGGTGTAAAGAGCATTGATGGTTAAGCTGAGCTTGAAATATTAGCCAAGATCCACCCTCTTCAATTGTCAATTATTTTAACTCTTTATCAACAAGAATTAATAAGCTTGAGTACAGTGTTATATGGATATAGGGAATTCACAGATTTCGAATCCTTTAAAGGACGTCGAACAAAAAAATGATAATGGGGATTTTTGATGGCTGATTTAATGGAAAAAAAAGAAAAAGGCTTGGTAACAGTCCTCTTAGATAAAAAGTAGCTTTATCAATGAGTATCTAGGAACACATTACTCAAGGCCAAGAGACATTCTAACACATGTGATGTAGAGAACCATATTGAAACATTATATTTTGACACACCTTGACTTTATATAACTTATTTCTGCCAGATTTGCAACGTAAAGCCATATTGGAGTGGTCGCGAATGAGCTTCAACTTTGTAATCGAATCCAAGAAGGGCAAAAGAACAGAATTAGTTCTGTTTCCGAGCATTGCGGCCGCCATGTTGAACTGTTTTTTCCGGTCGCGAGAGAATGGGAAAGATTCTACTGCCCAGTGCTTCTCTGTTGTGCTGCTTTCTACAAATGGCGGCGTTGAGTTGTGGTTAGGCCCTTACTTTCAGGAATTTCCTTATCGTCATTTAAGACGATCTGCAAGAATTTAACTTGATTATATGGAAAATATTCATATGATGTGTCAGGTGTATTTTATTCGTCGTTCTGAGCTGAAAACCAAGATTGGGGAAAGCTTTCCTGTTCAAGTCTCTAAGCAAACAGTAAATTTGTAACCTGCTGCAGACAACAGTTGTCCTTCAGAACAGAGTAATCTTCTTTAATGGATCTGGAGTCGATTAAAGAAGTTTTAGATGTGAGTACATATTAATATTTACCGTAATATACTAAGACTTATGAGAATAGCAACGTGAGTGATATGGTCTCCGAGTTCAAGGTCTCTTCAACGATTCCTTTTCAAGGAAGACACTAAAATGGCTGATTGCTTGTTCCGTTTTTTGAAATAGTTATCGTTTTATTGGATATTCATGAAATTGTGTTTTATTCTATTCTGTCAGCTCCTGCACGGTGGTTATTGTTCTAAAATTATTTATATATTTTTTGTTAAACAGCTGTTACTACGACAACTCATGTATATATCTGTTTTGCTTCAGTCTTTCTCCAAATCAGAATCGCCAAAAAGATTTCAACAGTTGAAGAGTAATAAAGACTTTGTGAATGGAATATTTCAGAGCTTACCTAACCAGTATACACATGAGGTGAGTGGAGACTGGAAAGGAGGAAAAGGGCAGTGTCACTTTCCTTGCATATTACACTTCTACTCTCGGGCTGATAATCACAAAATAATTTTTTTTTCCAGCTGACAGATTCAGTTTATAAAGGTCTATTCGAGTTGTACAATCAAAGGGGGAAAGCTGGAAAACTGTTTGTTCTTCAGTTTGTTCCTGTGTTGATTTGGAATTATCTGTCTGCCACAACAAGAAGAGATTATCAGGTGCAGTACAATAATTTACATGAGGGTTTGAATACATTTATTCAATAAATGGTTTATGATAGTAACTCTCTTTTTAGATCAGGTGCATGTGTTTATACCCTGAACTATTAGATTATGAGAATTTTTTTCTCTAGTAAAGGCCTCCTTTGTACCTGTTACCTCTTAGAGGTTACCAGCATCTGATTTCTCCCCACAGCATCACCACTGAATCAAACAATGAGGTTACAAGAATATAAGAAATGATCATTAACTAAAGAAACTCTTGATTGTTAATCAAATTCACTTACTGCCAAGAATAAGCTTATTGATGGAAGTGTGTAAATCAGTTTGTTAGGATTGAACAATATGCTTAGTTTATGGTAGCAGCAAGTTATTTGAAAATAGTAATTGTTCTTGTTTGTGTTTCATCTTAGGCCTATGGCAGTCTAGAAGTTCTGCTGTTGGCTATCTATAATGATGTAAGTACAATGAAAATGCTATTTATTTTCCTTCATCTGCTGAGGATACTAGTTTATTAAAATCAGAAATAAACACTAAAAAAAAACTTTAAAACTTGTTTTATATTTATTATTTTTTAACAAAATCATAACTATTTTATACATCTAATGGTCCTTTACCCTGAATTATGACAACTACAGGAAGTTGTGAATGATAATGGAGAGCAGAATGTTAAGAAGTTCAGACTGCCATCACTTTCGAGGCCTTCAATTTACCATGAGGTACAGTTTGATCAGAAGTTGTTATCTCATTACCTTTCTGCTTGAAAGTGTATTGATGTTGTAGGGAGAAATAAGTTATTGGTCTCTTTTGGGAGTGAAAGGATTAAATAGATACTTGACTAAATTTTGATTTTGACTTTGATACATCTTAAGAACACTGAATTACAAGTTGAAACTTATATTAACAGTTTCATACTTTAATGGTAAGACTTAACTTAAGTGCCTCAGTTGTTCACTTATTCAAGTTTTTTTTCAAGCCCCAGCAGAGTTTTACAACATCTTCAATACTGACTGAAACAGCTCTGAGCCGACATGAACAGAGTGAGACAATTGTGATGTTACCAGGTCCAGGAAAACCTCAAAACAAAATCACTGCTACACATAGGTTAGTGTTATGATTGTTTTTATTGTTGTTTTTATTTTTCTCTGGGAAAAATCTTATGACAAAGGTAGAGTCTGACATGGTTTACATGTAAAGACAGTATGCTCATTCAAATTTAATATTTTGTAGTCTGCAATGGGCATTAATCCTTTACACTTAGACATCAGTATGCATATTCTCCATACTGCTCTCTAAAGAGATCCTATGGTGCTGACAAGGAGAATTTGACACTCAATAGCTTCTTAAGTTAGTGATCATTTCCTTTATTCACATGACATGAATATGTGATTCAGGAGTGATATTACTAGGAGGGTTAAAGAGGCACACAGCAGATTGCTGTTCAAGTATTTTCAATCGCTGCAGTATACTCATGACCAATGCCATGAAAAGATGTGGCAACAAATTGCGGCTGGATTGCCCTTCATTATAAGTGCTAGTAATTTTTTGTACATCTCTAATGAATTCCTTCCTTTTCAGGCTTTCTATATTGAGTGTGATTCTTCATCAGTATAATGCAAACATTGTCTACTTGTCAGATGCCTCTCATTGCAACTTTTGTATCATGGCATTGAGGTACATTGTTTCCTTTGTTTTAAAAATTGATTTGTCTGGAAGTAAGGTTACTTGGAGAAGAACGATTTTAACTATCTTCAACCCTGTCTTAAATTTGAAAATATGTTAAGAAAACAATAAGGTGTGAACCTTTTACCTTTTGCAGACATTTTTGCTTGAATTAGTCAGACATGGAGTGTAGTATCTACTAGATAATATATTATAAGCTGGACTATGCACACATTTGATTGGTTCCTTGAGGAGGACAAATGTATTGTTGATGTCACCATTAAAATTTGTTTGTTTTTTATAATTTTATAAAACAAATAGATTCCATACTGCTGTGGGTCTGTACAGAAATAGATTGCAGAAGAGGTCAAAATATGGGAAGAACATCAGTGACACACTGAGCTGCGCTTCTTTTGCCACTTTGTGGTTCTTGCCACATTTTTATGTCATCTGTGATCTATTATTGAACAGACGCAGGGGTACATGAAATCTCTTGGTTAAATACACCTTTTAGTATTATTATTATTATTTTTTTTTAAATTTATTTTATGACAAAAGAAAAAACAGAACAAAACAAAAACAGAAAAAAAAAGAGACTCCAGTTTTAAAATATAAGCTGTGTAACTTGTGATACCATTGTTTGCAGTGCTAGTATTGGGATGTAAATAGTGTTAGTGTTGTTAATGTAAGTAACAGAAATGCATTAACTTAATGAAGCATCATTGTAATTAGCACAACTATTGTAATGTTAAATACACTTGGTGTGTTACTAATTTTAGCAAAAGGAAAGGTTTTGAGAACATCTATAATGTTACCAGACCTGTGCTTTAATTTGATTCTACTTTTAATAAAAGTCAAATTTTACAAAGAGTTGACATTTATTTTTTCATTTACTACATGTTATCAAGGCTGGCTAAATGTGGCTTTTACAAACTCTGTCAGCGTGGGAAGGAGGAATTGGCGTCAGAGTTCTCAAGTGAAGAATTAACAACACTGGTGAACCATCCTAGGATATCACTTAGCACAGAGCTAATTCAAGAGATGATTTATGGGGTTTATTTCCTGATGTAAGTTATGTGACTAGCATTCAATATCTCCTGACAATATCACTCCTGAACCACACATTAAGGTCATGAGAGTAAAGGAAATTATCACCAACTAAAGAAGCTCTTGATTGTTAAACAAATTCTCCTAATCAGCACCTTAAGAAATGTATAAAGAACATTATGGAGAATATGCATACCGATGCTAGGGTGTATAAATATAATTATGTCAAAATGTACATGAAGAACTGTATTTTTAAATGGTGGTGCTATGGTTAATTCCAGCATTAAGGTAAAGGGAAATAATAATAAAAAAACTGATTTTTAAAAATAAATTTAAACCTTGCAAGAATTTGAATCCCTACACTTATATAATGTTATCATGCTATGCATAGGCAATTAATACCTTGTACTCTTTTGGGCTGTCAAAGATCTGGAAATGCTTATGTGTGAACATTTCTCAATGCATATCAATAGTTTTAATGATGTAATGTACAGGTACAATGGCCAAAGAACTCTGGCCACCAAAGCTCTTGAAGATCTTCACTGGCGTGCTGCTCACAGCTTGTTTGCCCCAGCTCATATGGTAAGGATTTTTTATATCTGGAATTTCTGCAATTTTGTGCATGCATTATACTCTGACCTTTTTTGTACCTGAAAATTCATTAATCTTCATCAACCCTTACATCAAATAAGTATTTTCTCTCTCTGTTTTTGTATTTACTTGTTTTTAGCTCACTAATGCCATCAAACATTCATTGGAACAAACAGGAGGCCTTCCCAGTGATGGTCCCCTAGGGTTGGAGATGTACCTGACAGACACACAGGACACCCAAGCTATCAGTAGTAAGACTGTACCATCAGTCAGTAGCTCTATAATGGAGGCACCAGGTATATATTGCTCTGATGGGGAATCTTATGAGTCTTGTCTGGAAACTATTGGTGGTGATGAGGGTGATAACATAAGTGATGTGTATACTGATACTGTTGATTCAGTTGATAATTCCAGTGTCAAGTATCTTAACACTTGGCTTTGATTAAGTGGTTATTTAGCCTAGTACAAATAGTTTAAATAGGCCATTCTTTTCCTTTAAAATGAAATATGTTCTCGTGAAACACAGTCTAAGTGTTAAATTGCCAAGGCGATGTATATTTTTTTGGTACCTATATCTGATGATACAGTTTTGAGGTATTTGTGTTTCAATTCAAGGTTGAAACTTAACGATAAAATAAAAATATTTATTTTGATTAAGTGCACAAGTCAATGGTAACTGCTTCAAATAAATCTGATAAACTGCAATTCAATGATAATAATATTTAATAATTTAAACAAGTTAGCATTTATATGTGATTTTTGCAAATAAAATGTGTTTGTAATGCAGTGTGAGAATGGTAGGGGCAAATATATATTTATAAATAAATATAAAGTACAATGAAAAATTAGTTTATTTTTGTGGTATCTAGTGAGGTTGAACTCTGGTATCCATGCAATTTAGATTTTAAATGCTTTGAGCAATAATGATTAAGCTTTATAGAAAGCTGCTGAAAATAGGTGCTATTAGTTTCTTAATATCATCATATGTAGATACATGCGGTGAAGGGTAAATGTTATAGAATCTGGCATTAATTTTAATTTACTTTGTATTTGTTTAAATCTAATGGTGTCTTATTACACAAATGCTGCAATCTGATTGGTTATGCTTCTCCCTACCTATTCCTTGATAGACAGCAAGTAAAGCAAGTAGTCTTACAAAACAAAATAAAAACAGGAGCTTGCCTTGTTGCAAAATTTTCAACTACTAGTAGATTTATACCAAAAACAAAAAAATTATGCCCCCTTGGTTTCTATGCATGACAGTTGATTTAGAGGTTGCTGTTATCGACTATGTCATGACAGAAATCTTGGATTTAAGTCAGTATCTGACCAACTGCTCACCTACCCCTCCCCTAAGTCAGCATTAACCCTAACTTGTTATCAATTGACTGTTTTTTTTGGGTTAGGGGAGGGGTAGGTTCGCAGTGACTCAGACACTATCAGTGATCTTACATCTCAAGCTTGTAATCTAATTGTTAATTATGAAAAAGCCAAGATAAATGTCATTCTAATAAACTGTTAATTGTAGCTATTGCCTCTCTTCTCAGGGTGAATGAAACCTAGACTTAAAATCGCTGTCAATGTGAGTTGTCTTTAGAATGTGTCAATGCTTTGTGTAAAGCGTCCTGTTATTCTCTGTTATGCAAATAAATTAATGAAATATGCAACCTGTCTGTATTGAATCAATGTTACATGTCAGAGTAATATTTATCTGATAAAATAAATGCAAAGAGTGAAAGGCTTTAAGCTGGCTTTATTATATTAAGCGCTGAAAGTTGTGCCTCAGAAAGCTTAAAGGAACAAAACTCGATAAAGAAGCATACCCTAGGAATTAAGCTTGTGTAGACTACGTGCAACGTAGGAGGTAGGAAGTGTAGTTTTCTCCGCCAATCCGAGGTAAGGCGCTCATTTTAAACCAATCAGGTGCAAGTTAATAAGCAAAGTTAATGGTGGCAACTAGTGTAGTCATAAGAAGTGATATGGTTAGCGGTCGCTGGATTTGTACTTTCATCCATTTCCTTGTTCTTTCAAAATTTCCCCTTGCAATAGAAAGTGTTACTCAGAATGAAAACATGTCTGAAATTTGAAAGGTAATTGGAAAGTTCCTGAAGAATGTAAGTTGAATTCTCGAAAATTCATAACCCCAACGTTCACTGTGGTCTTCAGAATTAGCTTGTCAAGAGTAGTTTTAAATCTTTAAATGACCAAAGCTTTAATCTCTTCAATAATTAATAAGTTAAAAGTGGAAACCTTTCCTTCCTGAACTTGACCTGTGAATGATTGGTGAGCTTTGCAATTTTTTTGCTATTAGGTTCTCCTGAGGGCCTAGGCATTTGAACAGGAATGGGCCGGATCGAACCTTTTCTCACGAAAAGTTACTCTTTATCTTGAAAAAGACAGACTGCCAGCACTCTAGTTTTCAACGCCTTACAATTTACTTACTATTTGGCTTATATCTATAGTGCCCCAAACAGAAGTGGCTATGTGTTACTCGGGGTAAGATTTAAAACTGTCCATCTTTTGTTAAATCAGTTATCTCTGCTGTTTCTTTGTTTTAGTGATTGGAAATATTTTGGCTCTGTCAACTAGTGGATTGAGCGTAACAAAGTGCGATGGTGCTGTAGTTCTGAAAGGAAACGAAGGAGTTGACGCCGAAGGAAATGATTCAAGTAAAGGGGGTTCTTCCTCAGACCAGTCGGCATCGCAGACGACAAAGTCACATAAGAAAGCCCACAGTCTTGGCTACTTGAAACTCCCGGGATTCAAGTCTACAAAAGAACATATTGAACTTCAACAAATAGACGGAACGAGTTTTTCCGAATCACTACGAGCCGTATCGTCGGAAATCAATGTTCCTTCGGAAAAACCCGATGGTGCCGAAGTCTTGGCGACTAGCCCTAGCGAATCGAATATTTTCGACCACCAATTTTGATGTTCGGATAAACCGATTTGTCGTTGTCCTTGTTTTTAAGAAGATTCTTTCTTTGTAAAATTAAATAAATTCAGTCGACTACCCATTGATATAGAACGCAAATGGGGTTGGGAGAGCTAAAGAGGTTTAGAATTTTATTGACTCTACGACATTTTCAGTCGTCGAATAAGCTTTTGACACACCACTATAAAACGTAGAATGTTTTCAGTTAAATGAGCCATAAATTTGTAAACTAAAGGGGTGTACACATTGACTGTTATGAAAAAATATTTTGAATATTTCAGAATAAAAAAAAATTGAAACATTGAGTATTGACGAGCCCCTCTCGCCGACGATGCCAAGGAGAACGTCGATCAAACAATATTCGAACTTAACTTCCATTAAAAATTTCGCAAACGACGCGATATTTACCATCTCCAATGGCGCCAGACCCCTCTTTAATATGAAATGTTAGGCTATTCAGAATTTGATTTTGCAAGTGTTTGACCGGTGAACGGTATCGAAATGTACAAAGTTTCTAAACGCACGTGCTAACAAGTTCCTCTGCTCATTAACCCATTACACCCTAGTATCAGTATGCATATTCTCCATACTGTTTATCATACATTTCTTAAGGTGCTGATAAGGAGAATTTGTTTAACAATCAAGCGCTTCTTTAGTTGGTGACCATTTCCTATATTCTGGCGACCATAACGAGTGTTGCAGAAGAGATATTGTATGGAAAAATTAGATGTTACACACTCTTAGGGGTGAAAGGATCAAATCTTTTGTCTCGCCTAGTCCACATTTCCTTCACAAACCTAGTTTGCCTTTTGAATCTCTGTTGATCTGGGTTGGAAAGTACGACGGAACAGAAACGAGGAAATAGGGAAATAAAAGAAAACTTTGACGAGAAGAACAATAGCAGTGCATTTGCATCATAAACCGTAAACAATTCTTTGCCTTACTTTGCAAAACAACAAAGTGAATTGGCAACTTTTTTTTTTCAGTTACGAGAACATGAATCCCGATGGCAAGTTTTTAACATTTCTCATGAGAACAATATCAAATTTCAAATCATCCATTCTTTAATTATTTTTATCACAAAACCTGTCATTCCGAGGAGACTACTAACTTGTAGGTGAATCAATTCAAAGCTTTCCCTATTGCTGTAAGGAAATTGTTATTCCGTTGCATTTGCAAGTTCTCTGAGTACGGTACTTAATTAAAAAAATTGTAATTCTCCAAACATTTGTTAATTGCTTAGGGTTCTCATCTAGCCCTGAGGCTTCACGCAAATTGTAGATACTACAGTAACTATTCCGGCGACTTTCAGTTTGCGTACACTTGCGTTCCAACACGAGCCTTCGCTCTTTGTGTAAAGCGGCTAATTGGCCTTGCAACGCCCACCCGCCGAACCTTCTGCGTAGAAGAGCGGAGCGGGGAGAGATAGAGTGGGTTAGGCACCTTGATGCTCGCAGGGCTTTTTAATCTCACGATACGTTCCTCATGTGTGAACATAAAGAATTTTGATGCACCCAAATCCACCTTCCTCAGGGATCAAATTGTTTGCTCAATAACATCATTCTGACTTAAGACTTATCAGGGGGAGGTGCACAAAGACACGTGATAACTATGCCTTAATTCATCTCTCGTCTCTATTTCAAGTTACTTTTCCTGTCGTTAGGAGGAAGGAGTTTGTCTCTGGTTGAGTTCATGAAATTCCGCCATTCGGAGAGCATTAGAGCCAAGAGTGTTTCCATTCCGTTCGTCCTGCGCTGGCTTGGGAGACTTTGTCGGTAACGTTTTTGACGACGAGGATTTTTCAAACCGTTTCTTCATCTGGGCTATTCCTGGTGCAATTCGATCTTGGTTTGACACATCAGGATTTTCCGAAAACTCCTTGTAGAGGGTAGAACTGTTCTGCTCACTGTTGCTTCGTATAAGAGAACTTAGCTTTGGATTTTCTTCTAAAGGAGTAAAATTGCTTGTCACTGGAGCTTCTCGTTCTAAAGTCCTGGGTTCGTCTAACACTGCCGTAGCTGTCGCTTCAGCGGTGGTCAACGCTGGCTCAAAAACATCGGGACCAGGTGTATCACTTCCAGTTTCCTCCTCTTTCCCAGGATTCTCAGCGTCCAAATCGAGTTCCAAGTATGACTTAAAACTTTCCACTGACGGCTTTTTCTTGCGGAAACTTTTTATCAGTTTAGCACTGATTGGTTTGCGCCGCTGCGCGCTTAGATCTGGAGAGGAAAACTTTTTTAACATTTCAGAACCAGTGGTCGCAGTAATTCGCTGTTTTCCAAGCTCAACTCCATCTGGCAAAGAACTTCGACGAGCTTCTTTGTCGTGTAAAGCTTGGCGATATTGTAAAACGCTGTCGTGAACATTTGGCGATTGTTTACTGAAAGTACTGGTTAATTCTTGGGTATACAGAAAAGAATTCGTTCTCTCTCGAGGTAGATCCAGTGAAGACATATCTGAGGAGGAAATTCCCTTTCCTGTTGAGGCAAAAATAACCAGCAATGAGTTGTGAGTGAAAACAGTGAGTTTGACTACACTCGGTAATAATAAAATTATAAAAAAGGCCTTTTTTACAACCCCGCCAGATTTTCTTCTTAAAAAAGTGAGCTAAAAAATGGCTATCGAGTCTTCTAAGAGAGGGGCAAAAGTGAGCTAAAAATGGCTCTCGAGTCTTCTAGGAGAGGGGCCTATCTGTTGGTCTCAGTCTCCTCGGCTGATTCTCTCTTTACTTTCCTATACGTATTTTTCCTAGTACCTTAATAGTTATTCTCCTAACTGTCTTCCATACACTTCATTTGATGTAAGTTCTGAGAATTTTTCCCTTAATCAATTGATATTCTCTAGTTTATGTTTTTCTTTATTCTTAACACCTGTTCACTTGATATCATATCGACCACGCACGTAAGGAGAGACTACTTCCTCGTCAATACAAACCTTGGAGTATTTCATCTTCTCTCTTACACAATTCTTGGAATAAGAGTTCCTTGTCTGCCAGTTCAGCCTGTTTCGAATATAAGAAGATCCTTCAATAAGCGGGAAGGTCAAACACGTAGGGAGAATATCCAAGGAAGGGGAGGGTGGGGAATTTTTAAGTTTTATTGTTCAACATTTCTTTGACTTGGAATAAAGTTTGGAAGGTCAGTACGTGAACGTGTTTTCATAACTACTGTTGGTGGTGAAATCTTTTTCTCCAAATCTTTCATGGCATCATTCTTTGCAATTAGACGGCCCGTGCTCCTCTTAATAGGGATTGATGTCTACCAAACCAAAATTAGGGGAAACAACGGAGAGGAAAGAACGGTGAAGGAAGCTTTGACAAAAATAAATTGCGATGATCTTGTGGCGGAAGGGTCATGAAAGCGAAAGATAGAGAGATAAAACGAAAAATATTTTTCAAAAGGGTACAAATAAAGACGAAGGTTAACTGAGAGTGTAATAGGTACAAACCTGGAGTAATTTTAGTCTGGTATTCATCTTCATTCTTCGAAGAGCATCTACAAATACTGCCACCAATCTAAAAAATTTAGTTCAAGACAACAGGAAATTAATTAATTTCTAAGAACTTCCTTCGTCAAAGCGAGTCATGGAGAATCTTTATATAAGCCATCCACTCTTTGGTGTTTATCCTCGTCTATCCTCGCCGGGTTTTTAGATACACTTTCAATACACGTTTGTTGTGATAACACTGAGTACCACCTTAAGAAAGTCTCCCCCAGCTGACCATCTCAGCGACTATAGCGTCTATCTTCTGAACAAAGTATTGATTACGTAGAGAGTGTTTGCACGTCAATCTATCGTACTGGTCGCATGTACCACACTGCACGCGCGAATCACGCACACTACACGTGTCACTACCTGACTGATTTAGAAGCTTGGTGAATACGTGCCACCACTTCCTTATGGTCCACCTTCTCCACGCTTTCACCATCAACTTCCAGAATGAGATCTCCTGTCAATCAGTAAAAAAAAATGAAACAAGTTCAAACAGGTGAACGGGAAAGAAGAAAGAAAGGAAGGCATTAAAAAAGCGACTAAGAGAGCTATTTTCAGCTGAGTTTTACGTTAGTAATCTCGGATTGCAAGGGTTTTTAGGCTTTTTTGTTTTGTTTTACTTCGCACTGCGACTAAAGCCCTGGATTTGTATATCAAAATGTGCTCAGGGAGAATGTAGAGTAAAAAGCATGTGTCATATTGGCTCACCTGGTCTGAGTCCTGCCATGTAGGCTGGTCCATCCTCTTCTACACTGAGAACAAAAGTCATGTACTCCACATCACCTGATTGCTGGACAATTCCGTACGTCTATGGACGAAAAAAATAATGGTTCGCACTGCGTACATACGAGTCTGCTTCCTATTAAGATGCGTGTAAGTTTCATACTAAAACTAGTGCTGCGTGAATTTTTAAGCCCTTGGTTTTTTTTTTTTGGGGGGGGGGGGGCGCGGAAAAACTACCCGCGATGGATATCCATGTGAAGTTAATATCACTGAAAAACCGCACGACGAGTACGCATGTACAAGACCTCCCTTCTGTCCCAGATTCCCCTCCACTTTTAAATACCTGCAGAGTGAAACCAAATCCTGCTGAACTGTCTTTGCTCAGCTGAAGAGTTCGACGTTGATTGATGGGTGGAGCATTCTCTGTTGAACTGTAAAACATAAATCACAAAACACGAGATGTAGACAGACCAATATGGCACGTGATTTTGACGGGAAGTATACATGATTTTCACGTGATCTTGTAAAACTAACCTCCAGTCTCCCAACTTTTCAAAAGTAGTGAGCGTGTTTGAGCGAATCATCGGCGAAGGCTTGTCGGAAGGCGACGAGTAGTCTAGGAGTAGTTCGTTTCTTGTGGACGTGCGAGGAACAAAGTTTTGAACCCTAAAAAGGAATTCACACTACTGTATAAAACGATCAACAAAAACGGAAATGCAAACCCCACCCAAATTAAGCAGATGTAGGGAAACTCTCCTTTGAATTTTGCGAACAGCCGTTATAGAAGGCTCTTAAAGGATTTTTCCGTTCTGAGGGCGAGACTATGTAGAAGATGGAATTTCCCACGCTTCATATAGGTTGCGACAGGGAATATTCAGCCGTCCTATGTTTCCACCATACAATGACAGGGAATAAAATATGTGAGTGACGTTTCACTCTTAAAACACTTTAAGTAACTATCAATTGAACAATATCGAATGACGACACTAACTCTCTACTTAAGGTGATTCCAACTTGTTTTCTTGGGACAAATGCAGAATACGGTCGAATCTCTAAAGAAGTAAACAAAACAACAATAACTTTTAAAAACCAAATAGCTGAAAAAGATGTCGATCCAAGAGAGGAAGATCGACCTTTTTCCTAAGAACTGCTTAATGATAAACCAGGAGATAAACACAAGAAGTTTGGGTACCCTGTTCTGTCCCTTCGCTTTCAAATTGTAAGAATTCTTTGTCCAGACGTCTGTAAAAAGGAACAAATTGCGTTTTAAAGTTGTTACGTTCTCCTCATTCGTAACGATATAATTTTTGCAGCATATGAGGGTAAAATTCGTAGCAATATCTTGATAGATAGCCTCGTTATATAAACCTGCAAAATCAATTACGTTTCCGAACCTTCGTGACAGCCTTGAAAGAGGTCCCATATCTGTAAGAAAAGAACAATTAATTAAAAATATAATTTCACTATCTCCAAATTAGAATCACGCGCGTAAGAATTTAATTAATTTACCTTTATCGTCATCGTTTTCATCTTCTATGATAGAATGTAAAGAAATATACAGTTAGAAATCTATTCTGAATACCCAGTGACATACAATGAGTTTACTAGATTACAGTGCGCACAGGTATCCAGAGAGCTACATGAATAAAAAGTTCAGCTTTTTGGTAACAAAATATAGTTATTTGATTGTAGTTAAGTCCAGTTGGAGATACAATGTACTTTCGAGAAGTAATTGTCACCACACTGCATAACATAATTAAATTATTTGTCTGCAAGTAAACACTTAACACATATATGACGAGTCGTTGCTCAGAAACACCTCACACTTAATAATATTTATTCAATTTTTCAGATGTTAGATTGGCTGACCCGCAAATAGCTATAGCTAGTCTAAGGAGGGTCAGTTATTAATTAAGATTGAAATAGCTACCTTAACTATCCAAGCTAATTGCCTAACTCAAATGGATTCAGTTTTGAGAAATACTTAAAATTGAAAACTGAAATTTTACTATCAAGAAAAACGTCGAAAAGGAAATTATTTGGTAAAATTCTCGGATATTACATTATTATATACAATATTTCACTTTCGTTAAATTAAAACACTGTGTTTTATTCTCACCTGAACTGGAAGATCCCACAATTAAGCTTATCCCTCGCTGCCGTAACTTCTTCGTGACCAAAAAGGCATAATTTGGTTGTAGAGAAGCAATTGATTCAGTATCTATAGTTTGAAGGTAAATTGATATTAGAACAGAAGAAAACATCCACAAACAAACTAGCATAATGTGATTTCAGCTCTAATGTCAGTATATAAGACCTTAGAGTTTGACCAATCGAATAATGGCTACTATGCAGGGCTTTCAGGTTCCTTTTGTTAAAGGTGGTTAACTTTTAACCTTTGACCCCGAAGTGACTAACATCTAATTTCTCCTTACAATATCATCTATGAATAACTCACCACGGTCACAAGAATAAGGGAAATGATCATCTTCTAAAAAAAAAAAAAAGTCTTGATTACTGACCAAATTCTCTTTTTCAGCACCTTAGGAAATCTATTAAGAACAGTACGGAGAATACGCATACTGATGTCAGGATGTGAAGGGTTTAAAGGGCTAAATGTGAAGATGACACCCAGGTGTGTGACCATTCAATTGAAAGCCACTGGGTAACAAATCCATACTCTGCTGTTCAATATACCTAACAACATGTCACTAAATTCTGCTAACAGCTTGTCACACCTACCAGAATCGCGATGTGACTGGTCCTTTTTAACTCGCATTTTCACAGGTTCTTGTTCGATGTTCTCAGAATCCAACAGCTCATGAGGGGGTACTTCATCAATCACTGTCACCATTCTATCATCCTCTGAATCACTTCCGATGTAAGTCTCTGGAATATCGTCGATCATAAAAGTGGCTTCTCTACGACTTTTCAGTACCGACAAATCTCTTTCATCTTTTTCTCTCCCTTGTCTCAGAATTACTTTAGAACATTCCTTATTTTCCTCGGGATTTACAGTCTCGCAGCTTTCCTTATCAACAAAATCCAAATCCTCGAGCGATCCACCCGGAGAACAAGAGAGACACATTGAGGGGGAGGTAGATCGTGATGTAACAGGCGACGAGGGTGGGGATGGTATGCAAAATTGTTCCCATATATCTTGTTCACTAAGATTTTCACTCGCTATAGACCTGCGTAAGGAACTTCGCTTACCTGGAGACGAGTCCCGATTGTTCTTATGCGGGGAATAAGGGGAGTGAGGTGGGGATGGGAAGGGAGATAATTGAGGGGTAACCCCTGGGGAAGCTACAGGTGTCCCGTCTTCGCATTTTAGTTTACACGAAATCAGATTGCTTAAATCGTTGAGTAGACTGTTCGGAACGCTTCCGATTAAAATGTCTGTGTTCGGCTTAGTGTTCGTAATATTTTCGTCGTCGGCGGTATCGAATGAAGAAATACTCTCGACTTCCGAAGATGATTCCAAGTGTTGTCCGTTTGCAAGTCCCGCTGACTTACTTCGTGGAAGCTCCACACAACATCTCCAGCGATTGTTTGGAAGTTGTCCCAGTACTGTAAGTTCTGTTCCTTTGGGAATCAGTGTCCGAGAGTGGCCTGGTATCAGAAAATAATCCTTGGTTGTCGTTGAATGAAACTCGCATCTCCTCGTCACTGAAAACATTAAAAATAAAAATATGACTATAGTTCCCTTCGAGTGCTTTTGCATTGAGTATTGTAAAACCAAAACCAAAATTACTACAACAGCTAATCAGGATCAAGATTATAATGCACTGAGCCAAACAAAACTTAAACAAAATTCATACAACTGTATCCGAGGTTTCCAACTTACGGTGTGAAAGACTTCCTCCCAAGAAAGCCTCCTCTTCTTTCTCTAGTTGCTGAACAAGTTCTTCTAAGTCATGCAGTTGCTTCTACAAAAACAGGAGAAACAAGCACAACAGTGAATGGTTTATCAGTTACAATATTTCACAAAAACAGGACCAAGCACTAGTTTTCTCACCAGGTATAGCACTTGACCACGTACAGCATTTTTCAATTGAGTGTCGAAAGTAATCCGAGATTGTATGCACCTAACCTCGCAGTGTGATCGGTCCAGAGAATTTGCGCTGTTTTCTCAACCAATCAGTTGCAAAACTAAAACCGATCAGTCAGTGGCCCGAGTTTTCCCGCGCTTTGGGTAATTCGATTGTTTTCACTTAGAGTATCATTGGTTCTCGAAGATATTTTCCTTTTTTCTGATTGGTCGTTTTGGTTTTACTACACTCAATCGAAAAGCGCTCTGTCATGTCGATGAAGGTAAAAGTGGATTGTTACATGAGCAGATTTGAAAATAAGAGGTACATGTTTTTAAATTTCGCTCATGTTCAAAATAATAGCAAGAATTGAGTAAAATGTTTTGTATGTGAGCTTACCTTCATTAGCTCAAGCCGAGGATTGTCCACAAGTTTCTTGGAGGTTTCATAAACTTCTTCTACGTCACCTTCAAAAAGCCAAAAACAAAATTCTATTTTCCAAAACTGAAATGATATCAACAGATCCTTCAACGAGAAAAGCTCTGTTAACGCCGAATATTTTGAAATCTCCAGTTTCCTAACAACAGCAAGGATCGCCAAAGGAGTGTCGCTATGTTGCTCGGCCTCACTCCCCCCCCCCTCCCCGCCGCTAACTCTGCTCCTGTCCTAAGAACATCCAATCACTAATAAACACAGTAGGTAGAAAGTATTTTACCTTCCATGCCAGAATCAATGTCATCTCTATCAGGGATTCTCCTAAAACGCAAGCAAATACGATTTTCAAATTTGATATTCCGATTCGCCTTAAATCTTCGGAACACTCTCGGAGCTACTAAAAATGGAAATACGCTCGTCATTTGCCTCGTTCCTTAGAGCTCCGACAGCTTCCGAAGATTTCTCTCCATCACATCCACGCGTTACCCGTTTCAGACCTCACACGCCTACCCGGTTCAAAAATGGCCGCCACAACACAAACTACAGAATACTAGAACGGTAAGTTTATCTCACTTTTTTTGCGTTAAAAAAAAATTTCTTATTAGAGGCAAGAGTTCACTGAATACAGTGCTTACTTTTGCCAGTTAAGCAAATCTCTAATCGCAAACCGCTTTTGCGTTGTACTTACATCTCTGGAGCCATACGGAATCTTTGTTGCTCCATTGAACGAAGTTTAGCTTCTTTGAGTCTCTTGTCTGTGACGTGAGAGAGTGCGACATAGAAAAATTAAGCACAATAAAATAACCTCAGTAGTTGTAAGTGACATAAAAGCTGTTCTTGCTGTTCTTGCATGCAACGGTTTGGAGCAAGCGAGAAAATGGAGATGGATTGTTTCTTGTAAGTTATATATCAGCGGCAATTCCAAGTACGAAAGTACACAAAAAAAATATATCGAGCAACAACGCCACTTGAAAAATTAAACATAAAATAAATTAGATTTAGTTCATGAATGGTGGAAGTGCTCAAAATTGCTGGTGCTTGGTTAATGTATTTTTCATGAATGAGTTCACATCTTAAAGAAAGAGTTTATTTGTTAATGTTCTAAATTCAAGTTAGCTTGCAAGTGTGTGTAAACTTTAATTTAGTGCACCTGGTTACAACTCAATGGACATGTTGAGTCATTAAGTACCGATTTCCAAAGTTTAGTGTGCAAATTACATGTAATATTCTGGTTTATTACAGAATTGTTACATATTATATCTAACTGTGGACTTGCTTCTGATGTTTCTGAACAAATCTTAACATCATCAGGTAACATTTCAATGTTATCACTACTGCTAAGATAGGTGTGTGTTTTCATTTCATTCTTTCAAGAAAAAATAATTAGTAATTATGAATGGGAGACTGAAATAGAATAATTTGGGTTTAACAGGGATGTTAACCTTTAACTCCCATGAGTGACCAAGACAGAATTTCTCCTTACAATATCAATACAATATCAAGTGGACATTTGTGGATCCAATACTAAATTCTCAACACTAACATCATGAGAATTGTAAGGCAGACAGTGACAAGAATTACTAACAAGATCTTGGGAGTGAAAGGGTGAACACAAAGTATTGAAAGAAACATTAAAGTTTCTCCTCTTTCAGACAGGTTTCAAGAGTAGATCTCAGTAAATTGTACTTTTCAAGTATCTTGGCAGTATGGTCTGACTAACATTGAAATGTTACCTCAACCTTGTCCTTCACCAGGTCTGACAAAACTTTTTCACACAGAGAAGCAAAGGCATTCCCTGCACACAGTGCATGCCAGCTTCATGCATAATATGTCAGAGATTTCCACTGATTTATTAAATAAACTTACAAAATGAAAAGCCCCTCAAATATGTTAGCGCTGAAGTTACAGCTGAAACAACTATAAACAGAAATGAACAATCAAAGCCCCATTAAAACATTAGCTACACTTATTAGAAAAACACTGGTTTATAACTTAGAAAAATCATTCTACAATTGATAATACTGAAGATTACCATGATTATTATGAATCTTATAAAATGATCAGAAATTTAAAGAATTAAAAGTCAGATGTAGCAGAATGTTTGATTTAGACATTACAGGTTACATCCCTTCACATTAAAAGACTCTTCAGTGATGAAATTCTCACAATTATACACTTTTTTATGAATCAAAATTTAAGTACTGATTTAACTCCTCACTTTTCCTACAGAGAACAAAGCACAGAAAATGAACATAATGTTAACCTTTCAGACAGGAAAACAAATCAATTTAATTTTTTCCCAGTTATTTGGTAGATAGGTGAATCATTCATGTAGGAACAAAATAAGGTAAAGTTAGTTTGAAAAACTTATTGGTACATCAGGTTAGAGCTCATGACAGTTCTTGTAGTAATTAAGCTCTTCCTCTTTCTCCCCCTCCCCCCTCCCTTCATGGGATGCTTGTCTATTGTAGAAGACCCCCCACCATTTGGTCAGGTTTTTTAACAGTTTGCCAAGATTCATTTTTAACCATTCCACTACTACACCATTTTACCACATAAGGGATATAAGCATGGATATCATCTTAAAGAACAAGACAAAAATACAGACAGAGGGTGGAGGAAGAAAATGTTCTTTATTTAAAACAAAATCACAGAGTTTGAAAGAAATACCTGTTGTGGATTCATTCTGAGTCACATGTCATCAATCCATGCAAAAATGGAAGAGAGAAATAAAACAAAATACAGATTACCATTTTAAATTACAGAATGATACAGTATGTACCTGTAAACCATTGATTGTTGCAAATACAGGTTTTTTACACACAAAGTACAAATTGGTCCTGGTAATAACACAGACTAAAAAACTGGCAAGTAAATACAAATCAAATTACCTGTGGTTTGTCAGACATATCAATTGCTTCTTCAATTTTGCTAATCCTGTTAAAAACAAATGCATGGGTAATTATATAACATACAATGCCACCATCAAAGCTAAAATACAGTATCATTCAAACCTAAAGTGAATTTTATCTGTTGTCCTATCTTTTTTATTAACCCATTTGAACCCCTAAGAGTACCCAGCATCCAATTTTTCAGAGTCACGCATCAAGGTCCCTAGAATAGTGGAAATGATGAACAATTGAGGGCCTGTTTGCACAAAGGTGGGGGACCCCAGGTAATAGAGGTAATGTGCCTAGCTGTGGTAGAAAAATAGCCTGCATTTGCATACAATCTAACTACCCAGGGATGCCATAAAGAAGTTTCTTGAGGTTGTTGTTATGCTTGTAATTAGAGAGGTAAGATGGCACTATGGTGACACGTGGTAAAATGCTGTTGATAAAAAGTAATTTATTTTCCTCAAAGATTTTCACTGATAGCTGGATGCGTTAACTGTTTCTGACAGTACAACACCTTAACTTCAGCATAACATGTGAATGTCATGTTAAGTTCAAAGTAAAACTGTGCCTTGAATTACTGTTGAGGTTTCATTGCAAAGAGGACATTTACATGGAAAATTTTCATCCCCACTGACAAGGTTACCCTACCTGGCTGACCAGGCATGCTGCCTAGGCAGGTCACCCCACCTATCATGTAAATGTGATGAAGATAAAATACAAGATTTTATGGACAGGTATCATCATCACTCCATCAAGGTAAGTTACCTTATCTATCTGGGGTCCCCCACTTCCATGAAAATAGGCCCTAAAGGAACTCTTGATTTTTAAACAAATTCTCCTTGTCAGCACCTTGGGAAATGTTTTAATTACAGTATAGAGAATATACATGCTGATGTTAGGGTGGAAAGGTTGATATCTTATATAATATAGTAAGGAAACTTACTTAGAGAAAAAAAGTTTTTTTTAACCCTACCATCTATACATGCTTCCTTTGGTTGGAGCCTGAAACAGGTAGGATGGTGAGTTTGTGCCTCCACTGGTAAAAGAAACCTTGAAGACATGTCTTCTGTTCACTGTGAATTTCCTCTTTTGCGACTTGTGTGACTGGAACAATAAAGAATATAATTCATTACTTAAAATAAATTTTATAAAACGTTAGTGCATAAAAAAAAAGGCTCCAGAAAGAATAAGTTATAAAGTTACAGATAATTAGTTGATGATAACATAAAAGAATAATTGTGTGTGTGTGTGTGTGTGTGTGTGTGTGTGTGTGTGTGTGCGCGCTGTGGTTCAATTTCTTTCTTAGCTTGAAAAATTAAATTAAAAATTAAAAGACTAAACAAAATACAGATTAAACTGTTTTGAAAATTGTGTAACCAAGAAGAAGTTTGAACGAAGACATAGGAATGCATACCCATGTACACATATGTGGATTAACTTTCAGCCGAGCGACTCACCTCAAATCCTGGTTCTAAAATTTGAACTTTTGTCCCCTTCTTCAAGACAATAAAAGCTTCTTTCTTTTCATTCTACAAGTATATTTGGCCATACGAGTTATTTCACTAATACAATACCAGTTAAAACATAGTATAAAAGACAGATGCAGAAAAAATCAAGTGTAGAAGTTCATACAACAGTTATATAATAACCTCATTAGAGGGCACACTGAGACTTGAAGGAGGCAGTTGATCGGCAGAATTTTGTGGTAGAGATAAATCCTTTTAAAAAAGTAAGAGGAACATTAATGATGAAAAGAAATCAATCAGTAAAGAACATGAATCATAATTTGCAAGTAAATTTTACCTTATAAAGCCTGAGTGTAGATCCACAGAGATCAACCCAAAATGTCTGCCAAATATTATCCTGGCCAAAATAAAGGAATTTTACATAATTGGAGAAGTCAGCACTAAAGGATGTTTGCCCGTGAACACAATACACTATTTTCAGCTGTTATAAAGTGCATGATGGGGTGAGTTAGTCAACTATTAGTCAACCACATACAGTATGAATTATAAGATCCCCCTTGTGACTAATCTTATATGGAGTTTCCCAAACATCGGAATATTTCATTTGTATAAATGTAAATTCCCACCTTAATCTTCTTTGGATCTTTTAATAGTGTACAGTTTAGGTACCCCCACTGAAAGAGAACAAAATCTGATTATCACTTGCTTTCTTTTTTACCATTTACCATTGCATTATCACTTGATCATGATATAATTCTGAAGCAGCCTTGTAGCTCACTAAAGGACCATAAACTGTCATTAAAGCCTCCAATATTAGTTGTACTTACGTGGATACAAGATAAATCTATAGATTCTGCAGAACCTGTCACTCCTGATGTCTGTGAACAAAATGAATTCAAGTAACGACATGAAGCTACACATTCATTTTTTGGGCATGCGGGTTTCTTAGACAAAAAATGTAACTCGTGAATTGTATAAAACAGAGGAAATCAACCAAACTCAATTAACACTTTTTTTGTTTACAAAGGGTCTACAGAGCTGTCTGCAATATATTTTCATAATGAAAATAATAATATCCCAAGAGTACATGATGGCATATATTTGTTTAAAATTCTCATTCTACAATAGTCCTAAAGATAGGTGAGTAAAAGAAAATGTAATGCATTATTTAACAAGAAATGGGTCATAAATCTACCTTAATAAAATTGAAAAATTTAAGGTTATTTTGTCGTGAATTCAAACGTCTTTAAAATTAAAGGCTTAGTTTTGCGATTACGTACGACACACGTTTTGCGACACACGATTTGAAGTGAGAATTCTTAACGCCTTTTCCGATAGATTTCCTCAGCTTATCTAAAGCTTTTAATCAATAACCTTTAAGGAGTTTACATGGGTAATGAAAACCGACATCAAATGCACTTCGTAAACGATAAAATCGCCGACATCATTAAAATATTGTGAATTAAATTTTGATTTAGAGTCGAGCAGACAGTGGAACAAACTGTGTTTTGTCGCAAGCTAATAAGTGTTTGTAAATAAAGATGTCAAAAACTGTATCTCTTTTCAAATTTATTAAAACATTAAGGGCACGATTTGGCGTTCAGCACGGCGTCTTGTTGAACAATATGTGGCAACATAGGATGCTTTGATACAAATGACTCCCAACAGCGCCATGGTTTTTTCGTGTACGTTTACATAGTTTTATAAGCCGGAGGGTAAATTTATTTTTTGTAACTGAAATAAAGCAATAAACCACTTTCAGATGAAGAGGATTCTCATAGACTTAACTTCCAAACTAATTTCATCCCTTCAAACAAGCGTACATGCCTCACAATGCTTTGTAAAGTCTTTGTGCAATACTTATACATGAAAACAAATCTTTCTATACAAACACTTTTATCACATGAAACTATATGGAATGTTATTGGAACAACAAACCATTTCAATGAAAATAAAATCGCATTGGAATAGAATAAATCGCAGTCTTCAGATGCCGCAAAAATCGCAAAAATTTGGCGCGTACTGCGTTCTTTCAGACTGAGTGATGAATTTTTCATGTCATTTCGCACTATAAACAAACGCGCTTTCATGAAAAGTAAATCCGAGCCCGTTAAAATCCAAACCAAATTACCAAAGTAAAATCGGTAGGAATTAAGTAATTGTAAAGGAAAGGATCGGCAGCCTTACCTCATTTTCCGAAGACGTTCGGTGGTCTTCCGCTGTTTCAGCCATGTTTACGAGAGAATCACACGATAATGTATGCAAAAGAGTTACCATATATGGAGGCCAAGCCAAAGGCATTGCATTTCCGTTTCAGCAAGGCGAGTTTCCGGTTGTCAAGATAATTTGCATAACTCGTAGACTATTTAATTTAGCCAAACCTAGGAAAGACATTTAAGTGGGTCTATAGTAGATAGTCTCTGTTTTATGTGCTCTTAATTAGCTTGAAAATGCAAATTTAGGTCCCTGCAATGACTGAACCCTCATTGCTGTTAGCGAAGAAGAAGATTGAGAGGAGATTGGGTGCCATAGTACCACAGCAGATCAGCTGATCGACGTCAACTGACACAAAATGACATGGCGGTAAACTCGAATTCTTGACACACACTAGAGTTTAACTTGTAAAAAAATTACTGCTAGTTTATTCGTGCTGTTAGTAGAATAATTTTCCTTCTATTTTCATAGCTGTTGGCAAGACGGCTCCATCTACAAATAATTATTTAAAGACTTATTTTCGTCGTCGCGTTGGCACAGTTTTGTTAAGGTTTCAAGTTGGATAAAGCGTACAACTTTTCTTAAAAGGTTTTAAATGCGAGCCCATGGTGAGCATTTGTTTTATCAAATTTAATTTCCTAGGGAGAGATTAACGCTGCTAAAGATACTTTTGAAAGTACAGTTCAGTGCCAGTTTGATGAAGCCATTGCTTAACGCTTCATCTGACTCTTTTCAGTTGTTTACTTATCTTATAGCCTGTATATGGCTATTTTTGTTGAATTTCTCAGCCTTGACAATCCTCCTTTTCAGAATCTTCACACAGATTGAAAACCATGAAATCGTCAAATTTTTCGTTTTTTCTTTGCTTGTTTTCCTTTATATCTAGTTAGGCTTAGTAATTTTTTTCGCTCTACTATTGTCTTTGGGTTATCCTTATGCTTTGGAGAGATAAGAGGTTTTCTTACTCAAATTAAGAAAATAAGATCATTTCATTACTCAATATAAAGATGATAAGATCATTTTGTTGGAGATTGATAACTGATAAGCAGAACCGATCGGTTCACGGGCTTGAATTTTGTGTCGGTCAGTCCATGATGTATCAGCGGTTGACATGATAAAATAAACAGTTTCTATTCTCTCGCGGTTGAGTACTCCAGATTTTTACTTTCGAAAGATGACAATCAAATGCAAATAATGCTTTCTACATCCGTTATACTGCTCTAAAATACATTAATGACTAAAGAATAGGTTCAGTGATAATGCATTATATCTACGTATGTGGCTAGGGGTTACCTAGGCGCGGGTTAAAGATGATGAGATAAAGATCGAGCGCTCTTTCGCGATGAAATCGCCTTAAAAAGAAAAAAATGCGATACAAATATCTAACTGTGTAATCGAACAAACTTTGTCAGCATTGGATTTGGTTGTGTCTAGCATGACAGAACTGGAAATCTGAGCCTCAATTTTGCCGCTGTTCATCTTGCCGGCCTGCAGAGCCGGCTACATTATTAAATGTGCTTTGCGATTTATCCTCATCATCATTTTAACTCCCAGAAGTGATTAACAAGTAACTTCTCCCTTTCACACAGGTTATAAGAATACCCAAACCTATCATTTTGAAGTTGTTAGCTTTATCTAATACAAAATTCTCCTAACTAATTTACAAGGAAATGTATGGCAGGTAGAGGGAAGAATCACTTAAACAATCAGATCTCGGGACTTAAAGGGTTTATAGAAATTGTCTCTTGTTTATCTCCAGAAGTGACTGACTTACCTCGCTCGAGCGATACTTGATCCTTTTGACGAAGAAATCGAGTCCAAGGTTAGTGCGCTAGTGCTAACTAAAGTTGTTGGCATCTAACAGTGAAATAATCGATGGACGAAGATTTAGATGCAACAGAGTTTGTCACAACTATTATTTTAAATCTTGATTTTTCTGGTGGGTCCTTCCGAGTGATCTTTGAACTCCATTTGGACTAAAAAAATGACAACTTGCCAAAAACCCTACGAAACGTGAGAAATCTTCCACAGTAAGGTAAGTGTTATCTCAGACTAACTTCCTATAGACTCGAAAATGAAGCATCTCCGCTCTCCGATTGCGACACATACATTTCATTATTATCTTGAAATGGATTGCATCACAACAAAAGGTTATAAATAGAAATTTAGCACGCGCCTTACTTAAAAATTAGCCTCTGGCTGAATATTTTCAAACTAAAAACGATACGATCAGTGGTTGACACTGGAATAAAACATAGTTACAATGCACCATGAGCGGATATGATAATTTTATGGCAGTATGTAATTTCGCGTTTGTCACGCTATGCGGTTTGAACGCGCGAGAAAGTTGGACTCGAAGAACAAAGTTCGTCCTGGGGGAGTGGCTTGCGGCATGCGGGAATCCTCGAGCAGAGAATCTTCATTCTTCTTGATCAGCGGCCGCTCAGAAATGACGCGAGTACAAAGTTGACGATATTTAGGGTTGATAGTGAACTGCAGGTCAGGCTTTTTCACTCCGCTGCTTCCATCGCGCTTCGTTTTCCTTACCAAACGCCTGGAGTCAAAATGGAAAGGTGAGAGCTGTTTTAACTTATGCATGCATTCGGAATAAATCCTGCGAACAAAGTGATCGATAATTATCTACAAGGGGCTAGGTATTCAATAAACCCCAGTCAATCTGCTGTCAATACGTATAGATAGCGGAGAATTTGGCTTCACATCAAAAGTACAACCACAGGCGGCCCAAGCGTACTATTTGTGATTTCGGGGTTGAAGATCATTAATAGGAATATCGTATCAAAAATGCTCATAGGTGTATTAATATAACATAAAAATAAACTTAATTAACATATGCGTATCAACTGGAGTAAATAAAAGCCAAAAGTTCCTCGGTATGAGGTTTATCTTTTTGTCTATTGGTATTAAGTCACTTTTAGCTTTACTGAAGTCGTTATTTCCTGAATATTGCACGATTGCCGGATAAATTTGGATTGAATTTTAAGCGTATTTTAAGCGTTCCGAAGAAAATGGAGTTGCACTTTGGAAAGAAGAAGTCTGGTCAGTCTAACTATTAAAAACAAAAAATAAGGAAAAGAAGCATTCTGGTGTTACTAACAACAGAGAAAAGCAAAGTTGTCAGAAGGATGGAAGGACAACGAGTCTTATCTAAGAAGATAAACCGGAATGACTGAATTCAAGAGGGCCACTCGCAATCAAAGAAAACGGGAAGACTGAAGTGGACACAAACGATCATTAATGACTCATGAAGTGTGAGAGCAAGAGTGTATGGTTTTGATAAACCGCCGCAGCTGGAAAGCGGAAGAAAGAAGGAACGGCATGTGAATCATGAGGATTTGTGGAATGACCTTTGATACGCGAATTTATAACAGACACCCAAAGACTTGCTTGATCAGGCTGCCAGGTTGAAAAAGTCACCGGACAATATAACGGAGCTAATGCATTAATCGGCTGGAGAAAGGAAGGAAACACAAAACCACAATGTCAGAGGCGCTAGTATGGACATTGTGGACTTATAGGAAGATTAAAGCGAAGGAACGGTTTTTGTGAATTTACACGCGCTTGCACAAGAAACAAATTTGCATACGGTTTGTGCACATCAAAATCCCAGGGGAACCTGACAGCCAGACATCCAGATCAAAGACAGACACGTAAAGGCGTTAGCGCACAGCCAAATCCACCTGATTTGGTGAAAAATCAGCTCTCAAAGCCTTTGCCAAAATTTGAACGACATCTACAATGAAATTGTTCATTTCAGAAGGAACATCTTAATATTCCATTGGGAAGTGCTGAAAAGAGCGAAAGTGCGTTGACGTTCTGGCTCTAATAATTTAAAACTAGTTCTGTTCTGAACTCGATTACTTTGATAGAGTTTCCAGTTATTCTGCCCAAATTTTGCGAAAACCTTCGGCTTGTCTTCCAAGAGCATAGAACAAAGCACCGCGATAGATCACAGACTAGCCCTCTGGAAGCAAGGAGAACTAAATCTCCTAATCGAATGAAAGCAATAAAATTTACACAAGAGAGGATGCAACTTCGAGAAAGGCCAGATTCGAGGATATATCTAAAGTTTTTGCAATATTGGTCTTTTAACCCCCATTTTTGTGCCTATCTGTGGCAGATTCTTCATCGTCCTTTCAGTGGCAGCGCTTGCCTCTGTTACCTCATCCAAAGCTGCCATTCGATAGGACGCTGAATTTAAAATCGAAGATACATCGTAGCATCTACTGAATATTGGTCTTTCAGGGAAAGCTGTCTGCTGTAATAAAACGCCTGGATAGGGAGAATTCCCCAGGCTTTCTCAGTCTTTCAGGGGGAGTCGTAGACGCGCTGAAAGAAAACCACCCGCTAGGCGCGAAAACTGTTTGACCAGACTCCGCGCAACATCTTTGACTACATTGACGAACAAATGATTTACAATGCAACAAGGAGGATAAAAAAAACCGACGGGTCTATAAGGAATGGACGCCAAACTTTACCAGAGAATCTTCTGCTCAAAATCTTCGATAGTGAAGGAAAGGCCCTGAGAAAAGAAATAGCCGCGATAAGCAGGATATTTTTTGAAGTCTTACTCCCATCCGTCCCAACTTGAAAGCTACGCTTTTTGTGGGCTCCTCTCACTCAATAAGAACCCAGGAGTTCGCCCTGTAAGAGTCAGTGAGGTACTAAGGCGATTAATAGGTAAGATCATATCTCGAGTCTTGTAGAGATCCAGGCCTGGTAGAGATCGGGAAAGGGCGTTTCCAAGAGTTTGTTTAAAGAAAATTACCATGCACTTATTTTTTTTTATTTATTTTAATTTTTAAACTTTTAGGTTATGCATTTTACTAATTTTTCACTATTTGGTTCAATAAATTTATTGTCATTATTACATTTTAAGCGTTAACGTGCGACTTAAAAAAATAATAATGATAAATAAATGCTCGAAAATAACTTGTTAAGCCTCTTTCCTTTATTCCATAGCCGCCTTGTCTCTTCAGGCGGTTTTCAACGTCATGTTGTCGACTTTGTTTGTACCAGGTGTTACATGCCTAAAAAACATTCAATATCGCCTTATATGTACTTAACATTTGCAGAAATTTACATAGTTGATCTTATTAAGTTTTCATTGTATGATAACTCGTTAATTCAGTAAGTTACTGCAAGAGAGTTTAATAAACTGTTCTTATTATTATATTATATGTTCAGCATTTCAGATGATCTTCAAACCCCGAAATCACAGTAAGACGCTTGGGTCACCTGTGGCACAACATGAATTGTCTCAAAGAGGCTATTAATTAATGTACTAGCATCTTCAACACGGACGAATTCGTTGCTCTCCCTCCCCGTCACCAGAGTACTACACAGTACACGAAACTCCATGAATCTTTATTTTCATTCCCTTTATTTTGATTTGTGAACAGATGTCACAAACACGTGTTCTTCTCAATTTGATCTTTTGTCATCACTGAATTTTTCTCGGATGTTTCTGTTTTACTGTTATAGCCCTGTCATTTCCAGGTGTTACCAATAAGTCATTTATCTCTACCAGTTTTATCATCAAACAGAAATGTGGTGTGAAAAAAACAAAAAGATCAACCCTGGGATATCGTCAAGTTGGTATACACTAAATTCTCAGAACGCACATTACAAGAAATATATGGCAGATAGTAGGGAGAAGTTATGATTAGATCTTGGTGGTGAAAGGGCCAAAAATGCTATTTCGAAATATTTGGAGTCAACTTTTTGTACCATTAAAATTTCTTACCATCAACCATGATATTTCACTCTCCTCTCGGGTTGCGTTCACGATACTTGATATTGCTATGTACTCAGTAAATGAGGCCAATTAATCTATAACAGCTACGTGTGAATTTCCGGTAGTGTGTTACCGTCATAAGCCAAACCCTTTAGTACGGAATGTGACCTCTGAATTATTCTATGGTAAAAAAATACTCTGGCTTTCACTCTTTAACATCACTTTGACGGAATCGAGTTTCGCTGTAACATGGCTACAAGGTACTGAATGCTTGCGGTAATTTTTCTAACAGTTTACACGTAATGGGATCGAGTTTAACCCCCATTTTTGTGCCTTTCTGTGGCAGATTCCTCATCTTCCTTTTAGTGGCAGCGCTTGCCTCTGTTACCTCCTCCAAAGCTACCATTCGACAGGGCGCTGAATTTGAACTCGAAGATACATCGGAAGGATCAGCCGAAGGTTTCGGAATTGAAATTGAAACACTTAGCGAACTCGAGGAATTTGGTGGTAAGTTCTTTGAAAAAAATTACTTATTAATAATATCCACGAGGTCTTTATAAAAGACTTAGTTACAGTAATTAATGAATGATCCGGTGTTGTAGGGGAATTTTTGGTTGTCTTATTCTTACTGCGTTTTTTAGTTAACTACCTGCCCTAACCTGTAGGTAATAACGTACTGGAAATATATTTTTTTTTATTTCAGTGAGTAATGTGTCTGGATTTTTGAAACTTGCCTATTTGACCCTTTTCACAAATCCGTCACTTGTCGCCATTCCTAGCAATTAACGATTATTTTTTCGGGCGCAAACTTCGCAGCTAGGATTTAAATGCATGCGATTGGTTTATAAATGCGGTATTTACTCCTCTTCACGGTTGCTCACCACGCCATGCGTGAAAAATGGAGTTTTAATCACCAATAACTTTGCATTTTTCTGAAATATTTCGTGAATATGTTTAGTGAATAGTTTATTTTTTTTCGATGAAATACTCACAATTTGGCAAAGTGATTGCCGTTCGGAACTCTTTGACCAGTGCTTAAGTGGGGGGATCACTGATAAGCCATAGGGAATCCCACTGACTTTCTACACTTCATCAAGCTTAGATTACTATTACGGTTGTGAATGAATTGCTCAATGACAAAAACGAACTGGCGTGGCCGCAAAGGAAAAAATAAAGGTTGTTACGCATTCCTTAGAAACGCTTCACTGTTCAGTGTATGTTGGCACCTCCGAGGTCTTGAGCCTTAGTCGATTGTCACATTCTTTTGTCTTTAACCTCCGTATTGGAAGTACGACAATCGTTATTTCCCAATCAATGATCCACGCAACTTCAGTAGGCGACCTAAGCCCTTACAAACCAAATGTGATCTCACTTTGTAATTAAGGGTTGATTTTTAACGAAAGGCGTCTTTCTTAGGAGAGAGAAACTGTTTTCAAAACTAGCCTACGGGAATTGACCATTTAATCCTTTAAATGGCTCAAAATAGCCAAGATGTTACGAATGCATTCAAGTGAGTTGACTTGTAGACTTACAACCAAATTTCTCGCCAAACTGAGTCTAGTTTTTCAAGTTCTACACATCAACAACTTTCGTACCAAAACGCAGGAGAGACAGAAAGTAGAGGGCCGCAAGGATCATAAAGTTAGCGTAGGTTTTGCACAATTGACTGACCCTTTGTGAACTAGATATCTTCTTTAAATTAAATTGCTTAATGACAGACGAGTGAGGTAATCTGTTTTGTTCCATCACTACACCAGATACGAGAGTGAAAATATGCTCATAATTGAGAAACTCGCACCAGACAATGCCACTTTATCGCAAGGCGCAGAAATGTAGAAAGTACTTCACATTGCCAAAAACCTTTGTCGGCGAAGTGTGAAAATTTGCACCCATTTAATGGGATTAACATAGTGTCCTTCATTGCTTTTGTTGAAAACACGCTCGAGAATAATCACACAGTGTAAATATTTTCATGAAATCACTTTTTGCCAAAAGCGTTTGAACTGTGAACGGGGCTGCAGCGTTATGCTTTATGATTGTTCGACTTCAGCCAAATTTACCATGATTTCAAATCTGTCACACTTTTAAATATAGAATAAATTTTAACGCACATTTCAAGCTCGAGATACGTATAGTTTGCTGAGAAATTCCTTAGTGAGGAAGATTAAATTAAAAAATGTTTTCTTTGTTAATATAACAGAAATCAGACGATGGGATTCTTTCTTTGTTGTTGTTTTTGTCGTGTTTTGAACGCCCAGACGTTTCGTCTACCGTAAGCCGCTGAAATAACAGAACATGCTCCACTCAAAGTTAATAGCTGAGTTCTTGCGCGGGATCTCATTGGCTACAGAAAATTTCGCAACTGTAATAACTTAATGAAAGGCTTTGCATGTAGGAGTATGTTGATAAGATCAAGATTGAATCGATTATCGACTCGTTCAACTGTACTCCCTCGGCATTAAACACTTGAATATTTAAATGTAAAAACACGAGCTTTTCATGCCTTTAGTCAAATTGTATTTATTTTGTTTGATGCGTCACACGACGAAGCGCCAATGAAAGTGTTCTTTCGTTCTTGTGCTGGATTGCTTTGGTTCCTCTGACTAAAATACGCAATAAATCGTTTCTCGAGAGAATTCTCCAGACTGCACCGCTCGTTAATAATGGTCGTTGTTGAAAACAGCTTGTCACATTTGCGATAGAGTTATGACTCAAGATATATCTTATACTATTATGTGTCCGTTGTCAGAGAATATTTTGAAAGGTGAGGGGGTTTAAGATTTTATCAATTTGTATCATCAGAGGGATATGAGGCACTTTGTCCGGCACCCTTTTTTCTCGGGCCCCTAAGTCCACTCTGGTTCGTGTTGAACCTTCAACATCTGAACAGTGCAAGTGATGGGGGGGGGGTTAGGGTTAGGGTTAGGGTTGAGACAAAGAACCATTTCTCCTACTCCCCTCCCCCGTAGAAGCGTTACTGACTTCATGGCCACCCCTAAAGATTTTTCATACTGAGTGAAGCCTTCGCATTTTAATCCGCTTTACGCGTCGTGCTGCATATGATGGCGGATCTAATTCGTCCGGAGGATGAGTCGAGACATCAACTTACGCTATCAATGCGAGGGCGTAACTGGGGGGGGGGTTGGTTACCATAACCCCCCCCTCCTTTGCAGGCCTTTTTTCTTTTAAGGAAACAACCCACAATATTCAGGTGGCGAAAACTGGCGAGCACCCTCCGTTTGACACAGTGTGATCCCCCTTGAAAAATTAAGGCTACGCCCCTGCCTGTGTGGGCAAAATTGCCTTGATATCCAATTACCAAGGATTCAAATTTTTACCAAAGAGAGAAGCGAGAATCCCTACTGATGTTGAAGATTGGCAAGGATTGCAGACAACCACCTTGAAGAATTTAGGAAGAGTCTTACCATTTAAGGTGGTCGTCTGCTGTCCTTGTTCTTAATCCTTAGGGATTCTTTCTCGTCTTTTTTGGTATATTCTTGGCAGTTTGTTAGGTTTAGGTCCATCTTACCAAAATAGATATTTTACGACGAGTGATCATGCCTTTCTAGGTATCATTGTACGCCGCTTAAAATTACCAATATCCTCTAAAGCTGGTTCTGTTTGAAGAGCTAAAATTTGGAAATCCAGTTTTTGTGAATGATAAATTTTGAATAACTATTCAATTTCTTTAAGATGCAGTGTTTACGTCCCAGGTAACGGGATAAGTTGCACTTGTTATCCACTGATCTGCAGATACATTCCATCTTCATTCTACTTATCTACTTATGATGGTAATGAGATTCTTTCTGGAAGCACAATGTTCATAGCGGTATGAGATAATAGTCATTAATATCCCATTTGTCATTCAGTTGCTCGGTCATCGTTAATGGAAAAGATGAGGTTCATAGGGGAGATCGTACATAAATAAACGCCAAAATTCTAATGAATGAAATTCTAAAGAGGTAGACGGCGAGTAGACTTTAGTTTGGAGGAATACATCCTGTTTTTTTTTTTTTTTTTTCCCGCTATGATGTCATTTTTAAGCCATAAAACCGCTTATCCAATTTTCTTCATCGAGTGTCAAAATGATACTTTCGTGATCGGCAAGAATGCATTGCACGATGCCATATTTCTAGGGAGTGGTCTGGTATCAAGTGGTTCTTATGAGATAATGTTATTATTTAGGAAGTGGTTTGTGGAAAACGCCTTGAAATGAAATGTGTTTTGAAATTAACTAGACAGACGAGACTTCTGTGTTAAGTCAAAATATTTTGACTTAATGCATATTTTACCCACACCCCTGACGACTGGGCAGATAAAAAATAATACTGAGACTTTTTGATAAAGGTCCTACCGAATATTTTCATCGCTTATGAGATAAGCTGTATGCAACAACGTATTTTGTCTACGAACAATAAATCGGACGAATCTTTCGGAAAAACAAATAAGCTATTCAATCAAAATCCAAGATGGCGTCTAGTTATCGATCGAGATGCATGTGCTACGTTTTGGAAACAAACTTAACGATGAAGTTTGCCGCGGATTTATCTTTGCAAATTTATTTAATTCACTATATCTCCTAGTAAGGTTATGATGAAACGTTGCAGTCGCCAATTTGGCGACTAACTTTCAGGATTTGGTCGCCAAAGTGAAAAATTTAGTCGCATTGGCGCCTGTATTAGGCGCAATTTCACGCCCTGTATTGTGAGGTGGGGTCTGGGAAACGAAAAGAAATTCTCTAAATAAAAAATGGCGGATATTTTATTCACGTATCGTGCTGTATTCCAAACGCGATAACTACAGCTAGTAAAGTTTACTTGGTTTTGGTTTATGAAGGGACTTGTATCTCAGTAGGGTATCATTTTTTTTAAAGAGCGTATTGGGTTATTTCAGGTGTACTTCATTCAAGTCTAAAGAGCTCACTCAGCCTTCGTCGGTAATGCCCAAAATTGAACACTTGTGTCAAAAATCGGACAACTTTATCCGATTTTGGACACTGCTGTCCGCTTTTAGACACTAATGTTCGATTTGAAATACTTGTGTCCGATTTGGGACACTATTGTTCGATTGAAGACAGTAGTGTTCATTTTTAGAAAACTAGTATCCGATTTTGGACACTGGTGTCCTGATCTTAGATATTAATGACTGATTTTCAACTCCAGTGTCCGATTTTGGACACTTGTGTCCGATTTTGGACACTGGTGTCCGATTTTAGACACAATCAACCGATTTTAAAGGTAAGTGTCTGATTTCAGACTTTTTTGTCCGATTTTGGACAAAAGTGTTCGATATTGGACACGAGTTTCCGATTTTTGACTCTAGTGTTCAAATTTGGAAATTTGTGCCCGTTTTTAAGAAACTGGTGTCTGAATTTAGGCGTAAATGTCCGATTTTGGACACTTGTGCCTGATCTGGGACACTGGTGTACGATTTTGAACAGTAGTGTCCGATTTTGGACACAAGTAACCAATGTTATTTTATTTATTCATTTATTTATTTTATTTATTTACTTCTTCTATAGCGTAGTGACATATGTTATATGTCATATGTTATACATTTTTAATTTTTTTTTTGATTTTAGACATTGATGTCCGACGTTACACTTAAGTGTCCGATTTTGGACACCAGTGTCCGGTGTCCGATTTCTGGTCGTAGTGTCTGATTTCGAACATTGCTGGTCGATTTTAGACTCCAGTGTCTGAGTTTGGACAAAAGTGTCTGATTTTATACACAAACAGCCCGATCTTAGACACGAGTGTCTGGTTTTTGGTGGTACGGTCCGATTATTTGACACAAGTGACTGATTTAGACATCAGTGTCCGATTTTGGACACAGGTAACTGATATTGGAGATTAGTGTCTGATTTTAGACGTTATTGCCCGAGTTTGGACACAAGTTTCCGATGTTGGTCACATGTGTCGATATAAGACACTAATGTCTGACTTTCGACACTAGTGTCTAATCGTCTAATGTCTACTATTTTCTAATTTGGAAACTTATTTCTGTTTTAAGAAAATAGTGTCTGTTTTTTAGGCACTAGTCTCCGATTTTGGACATTAGCGTCCGATTTTAGACACCGTTGCCACCATGTGGAAGATAATTAAAAGTGTCAGGGTGGTCACGCTGCGCTAAATCTGTACGTTCTTATTTTGAGCCAACTCAGTCAATAACTACCCAGTCTGTTGCGAGTTTCCTGCTGCTTCATTCTCTTTGGATACAATGGCTTATAAATAAAGATGTTATTTGCAACCAAGTGATTCGAAAGGCGTGAGAAGTCCCCACGAAGTGTGCGGGTGTTATGATCTTATCTGATGTTAAAGTGTTAGTTTCTGTGGATGTTACAGCTCACCCTTTCATAGCAATGGGTGGAGGCTTCGCATCATACCACTACCCCCTTCCCTGACGTAATGAAAATGCTGCCCTCAACTACAATCGACTAATCACATGCTTAAAATTTAAGCGTAAGCCTTTCCCAGATCGTTCGTGTCTGTGATTGAGAGAACCTGGACACGAGGTTAATTTTTCGCGCGGTTCTTGAATTTAAAGCCTGCGACGGACATGAAAACATACGGGCACAATTGAACAAACCGACAACTGCTTTATATCCAGAAAGGCCAGTTACACCCTGATGTTTTATTCAGGAAAATCACTATAAAAATTGTGCACAGATTTTCCTGTTACCTTGTAATACAATAATAAACTTTTTCTTTTTTTTTATATTGTTCAGATGGCCTTATGAAACCAGATTTGTGCTTTTTCGTTCACCAAGAAAATGGTAGTTACACGTGGAAGTGTGAAGACAGAGGTCAGTATCTGAAGTAATGTTTTAATTATGTAAGCTACCTTAGACATTCCGAAACGGTACTCATGCAGAGTTTCAGGTTAACAGCCACACACTGGGTATCGCGACCTCCATACCATTCAAGCCTTTGGGTCAATTTTCTTTAGTTCTAATTTATTTATTTATTTATCTATCAGTGATATGTATGCAGGCTGGCCCAGTTAAGCTTCAAGTTGCTTTGAATGGGCTCTTGAGATCAAACGATAAGTCATTAGCCAAGTTGACTGACGCACATAATTTTTCTTTATTTTTGGCTTAAAAATGTCTTCCTTCCAATCTACGTATCCGATTAGCTCTTACCTTCTACAATTATGCAGTTTGCTACCTCATTCTCATGGCCAACTGCACTAAATATAGTACCAATAACGCGGGAATCGAGTACAAATGTCTCGCGATGTTGTACGGTTATTTGGACAGATGGTTATCTTGTACTGTAAAACAACCTGTTTGAAAAGCATAGTTTTGATTGTGCAAAAAGCTGCCCTAAGAAAATTCAAACGATATCTGTCAGACTTCGAACAGTGATTTGTCACAGCGTGCCCTCATTAGTAACAGCGATCTTATTAGTAATTCACGTTACTGTCTTCCATACAGTTCTTGTGATGTTAGTTTGGAGCATTTGGTGTTGGATCCACTAATAATCCCCTAATTGATATTTTTCTTTTTTCTCATCACTTGCATGCATGATATTGTATTGATATTGTAAGAAGAAATTTTGCCTTGGTCACTCATGGGTTAAGTTTTCTTTTCGAGAGGAGTGTCTTGCCCCTTTCAACCCCAGTTTGTATTTGTCCTTACACCTTTAACTCCTAAGATCCAGTTAGTAACTATCCCTACTTTCTACTATACTTTTACTTGTAAATTAGACAAGAGAATTTAGTCTTATTCCAAAATAGAACCGTCAAGCTGATAAGCTTGTCTGTTCTCTTAATCTTTGTACAAGATAAATCATCAGAACTGCAACGAGAATTTATATCATCTCCATTTATATCATCATTGCGCATAAGTTACATGTTAATCATTTCAAAAAAATAAAGGAATAAGCGCATGTCCCGAGATTCAACATGCACAAGGTATTCTCTTGCCAGGGTGGCTCCTTTTCGGTTTTACTCACGACGATTTTAAACAATTTTATGGCATGTTATGATCTATGACTTGTGTTTCTTATCTCGTTGAAGTGCCCTATAGAGGCACAGTCCATTATCTTGACAGGCTTTTAATGCACCGGTTAAGATAGGGACCACATAGGATGATCAAGGTTCTTCTCTCGATAGAGATAACTGTTATATTTATAAACCTTAACAAAACAATAAGTTATTCTTATCAATTAGTTGTCTTTAAAGCTTACGATGACCATGAAATCTTCATTCCTCGACAAAATACACCGTGCACGATAAGAGCCCCTTATACAAGTAAAGGAAGCTGTTCTCTTAGCTGTTACTTTAAGCACGTATTATCATTATTATTTCAGGCGTAACAGGCCGAAAAGTTTTAGTTATTTTATCCAGGATGTATCACTAGTATTCTTATGGAAGAAGCATTCACTAATTGTTTAAGCAAACGCTTAAACACGAATTCGATGCTATGAGTTTCGATGGTCTCAACAAGTGTAAGGCTTGGCAGAGCCGGGGGGTGTGGAGGGAAATAGGGATGGGACCCCTAAAAGAACGATACAGCAGCCTGGTGTTTCCTCAAATTTCAAGCATGACGGTAGAATAGATCGCCTCACCCCTCTCCCCTTACTCTACTCACCTAGTATACACGCAGGGCTGAAATAGACGAGACCTGATTCCTAGGGTTGCGTAGATATCTTGAAGTGTTCTCTCTTCTCGTGCCTCAAGAGAAATGAAGATATTGGCTAGGCGTTGGATAATCTGAGCGTTTCAACTGTTCACTCGCAGCACTGAGTAGTGATGACTAAGCCAATAATTTCTACCTTTGAAACACAAAGACGGCTTTTAATTTATTTTTACCCGGGTTATTTTCTGCCAACTGTCATCAAATTGGCTGTCAGTCAGTTCATTACCTTTCTAATAGCAGCGGTAGATTGACCTTGAGACAGGGTAACTTGCAGTTGACGAGAGCTGCTTGTACAGAATAGCATTTCAACTCATCACCAGCTTAATTAACTCCGCTGAGAAAATTCCACACCCAAACAAAAGGGTTTTGTCGGCTTGCAAAAGGTCTGAAAAAGCCACATATTTTAGGTTCAGGTTTTTTTACCTTTTGTTTTGTTTTATGTTGTTTATTTGTATATTCTCTTGTCCTCTTCTTACGTGTTTGACCTATGAGGGTTAGTTATATCGTGCCTTTTCCCCTACAGAAACTTATACTTCTATTCTATCTCGCAAAACTGAAGTTAATCCCTTATCGCACGCAAGGTCTATAAGTATCACGTATTCCAGCTCATTTAACAGCCACTGCAAACGTTAAGTCTCGCTTGGAAAAACAGGACACACTCCCAAGAGCAAACTAACTAAAAGATGTTGACAAACATTGCGTTAACAAGGTCGGTATCCAAAACCGACCTCCCGTAATGCGACATTCCTGTCCCATATTAGTTTACGTTATTTTATATTTTTCCGTAGATAACGACGATTCATCAATTTTTCTTTTGCAAACATTCACTGATAAGTTGAGCAAGAGCACAGCTATGAAAGGATTTTTAGAGATAAGATGTTTAGACTCACCTGGTAATGGCATCCTATCGCTTCCTTTGAGGCAGACCTTTTTTCGTTAATCCAACACTTGTTTTCGCTCCCTTCATGTTTCCGGCTTTTGGATAAAGGAGACTTACCCCATGTTTAAGAAGCAAAGTTTCTTGCGAATTTTAGCCTGAAATCTGTGGATGGCAGATTGCTTTTAAGAGTGAACTTTCTCACATTTAAAAAGATAACAATCTTGCGGTTGTGGTCGCCTCTCTACTGACACGGATATTTTTTGCACGCGTATTTTTCTACTGAATTTCTGATCAACTTTTCATCAATTCTTTTTTATTCCTAGTGATATTTCAAATGCCACACCTTCAATAAAGTATTAAGCTTTTTGAAATTTACCTTAAGTCTAGACAAGAAAATTTAATTTCCTGAGGTCTTCTTACATTTTTGAGTAAGTTCTTTATCTGCGGTAGCAAACAGGTCTGAAACATTTGATAGTGAGATATATAGCTAGAGGAACCGATGGTTTTACCACAACGCAGTGTCATGATTTGGCCAATGTAGTCATAGAGGGTTCAAGTTTTCAAAGTTTTCAGACATGGATAGATATGAAGATTAATCGAACTGTTCGCATGTAATTTTCAGAGGGGAGTAGCGACCTTATTGAGGTATCGAATGTCAGTGTCATTGTGTTTTACTTGCCCTTTTCGTGCCCCAAGTAACAACCACTCACTCGAGCCCTCACCTGTATTTACTGAGCTCTGGTATGGAACAGTGATCCAAAACTGCAACATGAAAAATGAGGCCTGGGGTGCGAAGAGATGAATCTTTAACCCGTTTGGTTTCTTTGGTCATATCAAGTTGTGTTTGGTGTTGTACAATGCTTCTTAATGCTCAACCTTTGGTACAAGCTCGACCGCAGGTTCTCGGGCGATATAAACGTGAGTCAGTGGATTCCTTTTATAAAAGTAATAATTGTTTTATCACTCAAAGTTATGAAAGTAGCAGGTGATATCCTCATCCTGGTAAGTTAGAGCTTTAAGCTACAAAGCACTTCCCCGACATTTTTTCTCACTTTTATTTGGAAAAGAAAGATGCGTAAACTGTTGCCAAGGATTCACAGTCAGTTGATATCATCCATATTCACCTAAGCATAAGTCCGAAATAAATGTTTACAGGGATTTTCTGCTAAGCTAAGAGTATTACATTCTATTTGACAACGTTCATGGCAGCTTGAGAGAAAACGCTAGAACTCTTAAAAGTATCAGTTGATATCGCTGGTATTTACCTAAACTTACGTCCTACTGTTATTTTTCATCTCTTTGATGTCTTGCTGGGTTTGAAACTTTTCATTTATCATCTTTGTAAATGAATCTTCTTAAATATTATCGTTTTTTTTTTCGCCGACCGGAAGTTTGGCACAATTTTTAGGTTAGGTTGTTAGCACAATATCATAGAAAAAGTAATTATCGCAGTTATCAGTTGTTTGAAATGATTCCGTGAAATTTATGTCGAATATTGATAGACGGGCTCAGAACTGAGTTCAACTTGAGGAATTTAAATCATCATTGAGGTTGCCTCAATATCGTGAGAAAAGGTCGCATACGTGTGCGTTATCTCTTAAGCTTATTAAATAAGTCGTTCGTGAATTCATGGCGGTATCGAGCATGCCAAGCAACTTTGACTTGCGCTGAATGCGACAAATTAGATTAGCGTCCACATAACACACACAGACACACACATAACAGGTAATATTTCAATATAAAATCAATGTGTTAGAGTGATTTTCAACCTTATCGGTATTTTTGAATGCAGTAATGATTATCTTTGCAGAAATCCAGAATACTTTAGATATGCAGCCTAATCGTTGGACACAATGATTTACTTGTTAGTAAACTTGTTTATTAGCTGTTTTAGAATGCCGTTTGCAGGTAGCCGTTCAATGTGATAAACGCTGCGTTTTCAGCTTCTTTATGTTGTAGTTATCAGCTATAACACTTATTGTGAAAATGAGTTTCCTTTTTCTTAGAATTATGAAAGCCATATGTTGTGTATGTCAAGCGGAAGACAGTAGGGTCGACTTCGTAGAGGGCCGGTCACGGTTCATGCTACTGTATTCCTTTAGTTGTAATCCGTTGCAATTTACTGCACCATCCTTGTTTCTTCCTGGTTTGTTATTTCCTCTTTTGTGTTCTTCCACCTCACTAAACTAATACAGTTTTGTGGACTAATATTCTGAAGCTCCCTTTGAGCTGAAGGTAGGTTTGCACGTAACACAAAATGTCTGCCAATGCATTTTATACATCCCTCCGCTTAAGAAATGTTTATGTTTCCGATGTTTTCTTTGTTGAGGTGGTTTTCGCAAAAATTTTTTAAAACAATTCAAACAAGAGTTAAACAGATCATCGTTTAATCATTTCTGTGACTCTTATTTAAATTGTCGTCAAGTTCCCAGATTTCTTTATTATAAAGAAATCAGTTTCCAGTAATCCTGCGTGTTAATCGGTTATTATAAGGAGGAAAACAGAATATGACATAGTCTTCTTTTGAATGACACTCGCCTGAATTACGCTCAGATGGAATTTACAAAAATGCACCTTAATGCGTTAACGTTCTTTTCCAACTTGATCTGCTCAGTAAACCGATTAAACCAAACCCGAGTGAGCATGTACCAGCCTTAGTTTCCTGTGGGAAGATTTGGATAATAAGATATCCTTTGGGAGAGAATTTAGCTAGAATAACTGCCTTGAGACATGCATACTAAGCTTAGTTTATATTTCAGTGAATTCACTTGTTTATAAAAGGATCAAATCTTAAAGATGAGCAACCCGAATTCTGCTCGACCAGGCTTTTCCATTTCTGGCAACATTTGTTCTGGCTTGAATTCAAAAGTGTTGGCGTTTTCTTGGCTGACATCTTTTTATACTCTTGGATAAGTCAGTATGGAGCCATGAAAACTTACACTTTCTGGGCGTATTGCGTTGATCCAATAGTTGGTTAATCCCACGTTGAACGAACACACCCGAGCAAATTCATGCAAGGCAAATACACAGGTGTAATTTCTAAGAATCACAGAATAATGGTGTAGTTTCGTCAGAGCTCTGTTGTAGTCCTGAAAGGGATGACAACTGAATAAACCTACGTAAAGGTGAAGGAACTGAAAGGTATTCCTTGGTGAGTAGAGAACCGTGCCCTAAAGTTACGATGGCGGTCTCTGTTTGTCTCTCGCTACATTCTTGCGGTAAAAATGGATGGGCACTCTGTTGAGTGGAAAGATCTCTTAGGATAGACAGCTTGTCTCTTTACGGAAAAAAAATCAAGTGATCTCAAGTCAAAGGTGAAATCACAAGAGTTTTGTTTTATGACATCTGTCCGTCTGGTCAGAAAAAGTTAAATTAAAATCCTTTGTTTAACTTTGTTGGCGGGTTAAATGGACATGTAAATTATGTAAGACATCTAAGGACTGATGAAAATTGCCCTGTTCACGGTTGTCCTATCCACTTTCCAAACAAAAAAAAATGATCTTGAGTAGGTTACTCTTACAGGAAGATACGAACTGAAGGACTCGGACTTGGAAAGCACATTGTAATGATCATTGTAGAAGAATGTGCAACGATTTGAACTTCCTTTAACTGAAGACATGTTCCTTTTAGTCAAGACTTTTTTAAGCGAAGAACAATATTTTCGTGACTTACCTTAGAATAAATGAAACCGTAGTACAGGAAACGGTTACCAGGACTTGTCAGCACCCCTTTAAGATGACTACATTTAGATCTCCGTTTTAAAATCCTTCCGAATGTTATTTTGAGAAAGGAAAGTAGACTAAAGCCACTCAGTATTGAAAATCCATTCTGGATTTTTAACTACTCTGGATTTGAAGCCACTGAGGGACAACAGACTCGTCAGTTGTTCCTTGAAGTCATCCAACGACTATTACTCCATTAAGATAATTGGTTGTTTGAAACTATATCGTACTCACACCATGACATCTTTCGCCTTTTCGTTTTACCTCATTAGTAAACCGACCGACAGAAAAATACAAAGAAAATCTTATAAAAACCAATAAATTTTTTCACCCATATTACATAAGGTAATTATAACACGGCAACAATTAAACAGCACAGCCTAGAATACATCACCTTAAGCCCAATACTGAGCTCAACTTCGGTCACCGCTGACTCAAATTGTCAGTGAACATGCTATCTTCACATCTCTTCTATCACCGTTGACTGCAAACAGACCTCTATTGTGGACTACAGTAGCTCTCCATAGCTTATGCAAACAGTCGGCCTCTACTGACAACTACTACCAGCTACTTCTAGGCGAGTGAGTCCTTGTAAAACATTCCCAACGTATTCTAGAGGTCCGGGAAAAAAGATAGCTTTTCTGTAACAATTACATCTTAAAATCAGAAAATTCCAGCATCTATATTGTGCGATTGAAAAGCGAAGATTAAGTTAAGATTAAGCTTTTAATAGCTTTCCAGAAAATTCTTTATTTATTGTTACACTCTACTAAATGACTGATAGAACACTACTTAAGATTAATGTGGCCCTATAGACTGCCTCGGAGATTTGATAAGGCACACGCAATATCTTGCCCACGTTAGTCTGAGGGGTCCGGTTTCCCTTTGGTTGAGATGCCGGCCCGCAAATAGCTACTTCCGGTATTTCAATGACCTCCTTGATTCTGGGTGGAGATCCAAAAAGGCTCCGTGAGGACCACTGCTTTACCCCCATCAGGGTGACGTACGATTTAGTCGAGGCAATGTGTAGAGTAGTTAGTTGTAGCTTTGTTGTTTGCTGGCGTAGAAAAACATCGTAGATGGGAGAATAAAAAAGAGAATTGTTGTCAAAAGTGAAGAATAACACAAACTGTAAATGATGCGCTCGATAAAACCCACACTGACTTGTTTGAATGTATTGCAGGTTATCCCGACAACAGCCTTAAGGACGTTGACTTACTCGGGACAATAGGAAACCCACTTCCGATTGGCGTATCGCTCACGAAAGGACCTTACACGAAACCAGCATTTCACTTTCGGTCTGGAGCGAATGTTGGACGTTTCGCTCGCTACATTTTTCCAAAGGGATTTTTTAAAGAATTTTCAATCAGTGTTGTAATTCGCCCAAAATCTGCTGAAGGTGGGGTGGTATTTGCTCTTTTGCCGCATATCCGCAGAGGAAATGTCATTTTGGGACTTGAGATTCACAGAGACTCCTTTTCTGAAGGGACTACAATAAGTTTGATTCACGCAAACAACGGAAATACGAGAACTGTTTTTAATTTTACCGTCCCTAGCCTGACTGGCAAATGGACTTGGCTCTCTTTTAGTATTAGAAATAATGGCGTCACGTTTTACAAAGACTGTAGAGAAGTTGACACTAAGTTTTTACCTGCGGCTCTGGGTAACTTCACCCTTCGACCCTACAGTGCTTTGTACATTGGTAGAGCTGGATGGACTCCGGGGGCATCGTCAAGTGCTTTTCAGGTGAGCATGCCATGCTTGGATGGGCAGGAAAGTGTTAGTTCTGTGATAGCGCACATAACGCGCATAAGTACTTCGGACACGTTATTAAGTTTCCAAACCTTTAGACAACAGAAATTGACGTAACAACAAATTCTGAATGAAAAAAGCTGCCATTGGCTTTCCTAGGGAAAAAGCATTTTTGCACAAATTAGTCTTCTTATTCCTTTAACACCTAAGAGTTACTAACATCTTATTCCTCCAGATAATATATATCACCCTTAGATCACACGTTAAGGTCACTGGAATAGAGGAAATGATCACTATCAAAGTAGCTCTTAGTTCCTCAAGAATGTTTCCATGTCAGCACCTTAGGAAATGTATAGGGGACAATATGGAAGTTATGCATGTTGATGTGAGGTGTAAAGGGTTAAATATATATTTTTTCGTCCTCAGGGAGATATAGCAGAACTGTCCATGCACCGTGACCCCAACAAGGCCCAGCATCAGGAGTGCAAGGCAGGTAACCTTCAGGTCGTATCAGTTTGGAGCTCTTGGAGTGAGTCGGAGTCGGGCATCTCGAAATTTAGTCTGACAGTAATTGCAGAAAAATCGATTGAATTAGTATTGATCCTCGCTCCTCTGACTGCGCATGTTTAAAGGCCTTAACGTGGCAAGCATCTGGTTATCAAACGAATCCCATACAGTCGAACCTCGATTATCCGGACCCCGATTATCCGGACTATTCGATTATCCGGACTATTCGATTATCCGGACTTTCTTCTCTGGTCCCAATTTTTCCATGAATATTAATTAGTTGTGATCTTGAAAACTCAAAGTCGCAAAAAGCCCAACAATCCTTTCAAAAGACTGTTGAAACAACGTATTATCCTATGCGCTTTTCAAAATTCGAAAGTGCGACGAGTCAAAGAAGTATTCTGATGCGTTCAGCTGATATATGGTTGGCTTAATTGTTTTGTTGCCAAGGGAATTTCATGATTAGTTCCTTCTGCGTGGGTTATGTAAACACACGAGCGATCGATCGTAAACTCAAATCAAAAACATGCCTACGAAGCGAAAGCTTGCCGTTCTATTGATTAAAGATAAGCAGATAATTATTTCACATTTCTATCTCATTAATATTTATATTTTCGATTATCCGGACTCTCGATTATCCGGACTATTTACCGAGGTCCCGATGAGTCCGGATAATCGAGGTTCGACTGTACTGCTGTGCGGATGTTCGGTAGTAGATCCCACGTGACACCAAAATGTGGTGAACAAAAAAGTGACAGACTTTGATCTGATGTTCTTGCCACATTTTGATACCATTTGTGATCAAGTATGAATGGGTGCACGGCAACAAGGAATCTATTTGTAATCTATTTGTTTTAAGTAATAGAGAAGCTGAAGTTGCTCATGGTGACGTCACTGTTGTGTCTATCCTCCAATAGATAATATGCAAGAACCAAGCAAAATACGTTTATAATTCAGCTCTTAGTGATACATTTATGGACGAACGAAAAAGACAGAATGACAAACTGATAACTGAAGGGTTTTATTGTTCTAAAAAGTGTTCTAATCATTTTTTTTAATCTGAAGTTCAGTCCAGTAAATATGGAAACGTGACTTTAACATTTGTACCTACTTTGTCTTTAAGATATTAACAACAACAAGACCTCCAGTGATCTCTACAACTTTAGCAAAGCCCTTACAAGCACATCCACCATCCTTGAGGTCCAATGCAAGTATACCAAAAGTATCAACAAACAGTTCAAGTATTGTCGACTATCTGTCAACCACGAAACGTCCGACTGTACGGAAAGCTACTGAAGGCAGTGATCAGACGATCAGTGGCGGAGAAGAAGTGACGCGAGCGGCTTTAACCTCAGTGAACAGTTTCTCCACCACAGTACGACCAACTTTAAGAGACATTACTGAGGGTAATGATCTTATAACCAGTAGGGGAGAGGAAGGAACAGAGGAGGTGAGCACCGTCGATCTTGTCTATTTTACGGAACGAACAACGTTACGGAAAGCCTCTGAAGGAAGGGATCAAACAACTAAAATTTTAACTGAGGACGCTGACTCTATATCAAGTGGCAGAACAGAGCTTCTGACGCAAAGCACATCAAAGACAACTGATGAAGTAACAACAGAAACTTCACCAAAGGAGGATACTACCACAAGCACAAAACCAGTGACTGTTTCTGTATCTTCTTCCGCCCCTGGTATTACCACTTTAGAAGACAATGGTGCTGCTTCGAAAACGGAATCGACAACAGGAACACAGCCACTCGTAACAGGGACGAGCGTTCCAGCCACATCCTTGCCAAAAGGTACCACTGATGCAGCTACGGAAGCGAGCACCGACAGTGTTGAGGACAAGTCAACCCCTGGCCAAGAGAAATCCTCGCAAATCCCAAAAACAGATAGAGAATCGCTTTCAACAACAGCAACAACAACATCCATGAGTTCAGATTCTAGCTCACCCTTAGTTACTAGTCCAACATCGCAAACAGCATTAAGGCTAAGTTCTAGATCACCAGAGACCGCTTCGACCATTTCTACTCCTTCAAAGACCAAAACTGAACCTCCTTTTACCCAAAAAATTGACCCTGACGAAGAAATTGTGGTTGCTAGGATTGAAGGGGAAACAGACAACTCTACCAAAGGTTCTATTTCAAATAATTTAGAGTCCACTTCTTCTAGCGTAGCTAAGACATCCACCGTCAGCACTGAGGCATCAACAGTTGAAACTCACACTGTGTCTACAGTTTCTAAAACATCTGAGGTGAGAAGCTGTTAAGTATTGAAATATGTTACCCGGAAATATTTACCATATCCCAAACAAACGAACTTAAATTTAGTTTGCACGTCTACTTTGGTTAAATTGCATGCATTAAGACTGTTTCTAAGGGTGGAAAGTCGGTTTGGCCACTCATGTTTTTTCCTTTCACTGTATGCAATAACCCATGAGCTGTTGACATATCTGCTTTACTTACTCCTACACAGGTACTGTGTAAACACGTGCTGGCTGCGGGATCAAACGCGACTTGCTTACGTGGACCCCGCGGGCCGCCGGGATTGTTGGGACCTAAAGGAGACAAAGGAGACTCAGTTGTAGGCCCACAGGGACCGAGAGGAAGACTGGGATACCCAGGGCGAGATGGAGGTAAGCGACTTACCAAAGGTTTAGTTTACTGAAATAGTTGCAATGCTGCAGGCTTGCACAGACATTTTTCTGGCCATCTAATACTGGAAAACTTGAACTAAGGCCACTTCTCTCGGCTTGCTTGTGATTTCCGTGTCTCAATGTCATGTTTCCCCAGAAAACTGAAAACTACACTCCTTCCCTGAGCTTGGATTCGTGTCCATGTAGTTGTGTGGTTTTAAGGGCGAATATCTCCAGTTTTAGGTTTCTGAGCCGCTTTTTCTAGTCCCCGTGAGAGCTGAGAGGGAGAATTTTTTATGACTGCCCAGATATCGTTACGGATGAGTTATTTAATATTTGTTTTGACAGTGAAAGGAAAAAAGGGTGCACGCGGGGAAATGGGACCAAAGGGTTCTCGAGGTCGACCGGGACGACCTGGGCCAGCAGTATTCTTTGATTCTGAAGAAATTGTGATCACTGTCAAGGGACAAAAGGTAAGGTCCATGATAGTGAATGATGCAGGAAAGACGTTTGGAGATGTTTTGATTTGTCGTAACACTTCTCCACGCAGAGCAACAGGATGTGCAAATCTTCTCACTGCCTGCTCTTTTTCTAGGGAGAACCGGGACCCGAGTATACATTTGTAAAGGAAATAAACTGCGATAAGGTAATCAGTGTCAGTTTGTGCTTAAGTGACTCGGCAATGGATTCTGTGTTCTTCTCTGTAAAGTTGTTTTACGGTTTGTATATTAAAATTAAGTTATGTACGTCGTTGTACCTGCAATGACTCGATGTCCAACTTGAACTAAGGCCCCGTAAGCGAAAGTGTCTTTAGTGTTCGAGTTTTTCGCGACAAAAATTTTTCTTCTGTATGTTTCTTCCACAGGATAAATGTGGCCAGTACATCCAAGGTCCAAAAGGGGAACCCGGGCAAAACGGTAACCGGGGTGCCCCGGGAACTGTGGGGTTACCTGGTCCGCCGGGAACCCCAGGAAAACCTGGAGTGATACTTGATCCAGAGACAGGATTGGTGAGTTCCACAGAAAACTCTGCAAACTTAGGAACCTCTCCTATCGGCGCCGAAAATTGTCTTTGTTACGTACCTCAGTGAAGTAGAACTTCAGATCGCAAAGTCTGAAGATCTGTTTAGTCAAGCATATGGGACAAAGACTTTTTCTTACGCTCGGTTCAGAACGAAAAACATCTCTTCATTTAGGTTTTTAAGTCTTTCTTTCTATTGACGTTGACAAGAAAAAAGATTATAAAGGAAGTTGAAGACGAACTTTGGTCTTTTGTTTGAAGACAGACAAACCATACGAGAAACCAGTCCATACAATCTGATATTCAGTTAGTTAAAAGACTTCCAAACCTGATGTGACACTTAAGTTCTGTCTTTTTGTTATTGGGCGTCAATAAAAACACAACATACAATGGACACAATTGAATATTTAATGATTTACTTGGCATGCAATACGGCCCAACAGTAGTTTTTATTAATTGTTTTTCTTGTAGCCTGTTGATCCTCCGAAGGGTGAAAGAGGATACCCAGGAATGGACGGGATGGACGGACAGAAGGTTTGTTTATCAGTGTGAGGAGGAATAGTTTTGAGTTCACCTAGGTTCTTGTGTTCACAGATTGTGGTTGCCTAGGCCTACAGACAAAACTATAGATACCAATGGGCAAGGGCGTAGGTAGGGTATGGGTTCCTGGGATGTCGGTGACCCCCCTTTGTAAGCCTTTTTTCACATCAATTAAAGCACGGTGTGGAGGTCGACATCAATCTGGTGAGTACCTTCTGTTTGACATAGTGTGATCCCCCCTTTGCAAAGTCCTGGCTACGCCCTTGCAATGTGCGCCATGTCCTCGAACTTTGTCCATGAAACCTTGAGTATCCGTGAGTTTATGAAATATGGTGTAAATGTCTACATTTTGTGTTTTGAATATTTTGAAAATACAGCTATTTATGAGACGTATGATTCACGGTTTTCACTTTCAGCCTTTAAATTTAATCCGCTCGTTTAATTCACAATTTTAATTTATTTCGTTTTTGTATTTAGGGAGAGCCCGGACCGGAAGGACAGCGAGGAGTAATGGGTCCCCCTGGACCAAAGGTAATTTTAGCGGTAGTTCATGCGTCAGCTGCGCGTTCGGCGAAATATGAAGCTCGCGGAAAATATGGAAAGCACGAAGTATGCAGAAGAGTTACTGGAGGGGTAACAAGGGCAACTCTATCTTCTTGAATATGATTCTTGTGGTCGACGTGAGTTTGTATGATAGTTTCGGAATCATGTATCAGCTTGAATAAAACCACAACATATAAGTTCGGTAAGAAAGGAAAACATAACAGAGGCAGCAGTGAACCAATGGAACACAGATGGTGAATTGTGAATTTTAAAAAAAAAAAAAGGCTTAATTTTTTAAGATGCTGTAACAGTGAAGATAACGAACATTTTTTATCACAATCAAAGATTTTTTTTCTTTTTCAAGGGCGAAAGAGGGGTTACCGGATTGATAGGTTTTCCCGGAATGACTGGGGCACCAGGACCCATCGGACTACCAGGCATGGTGAGTTTTTCTGCTGATGAAACATCGTGTTTTTATCATGTCTTTGCCATAGCAGAACCCGAGTGCAACTCATTACTATTGCAACTTTTTGTCTTTTGGCGATTTGGGTACTTAAACTTTTATGTGAGCTTTCCAGAGTTGGATATTTCATATTTCTGAGACAAGAGCCCCGTAGAGTACAGCTTTGTTAACGGACTTGTTAGCAAGGCAATACATATGTAAAGAATTATTTATAATACAATCTCGCATTGCGAATGTGCTTCAACGTGTAGGGTATGCCAGGGCCACGAGGTACCCCGGGACGAGATGGCTCGAAAGGAGAAACAGGCGATAAGGTGATCGTGTTTCGAACTTAATCTTTCTTTAACGAAGGAAATTGATTTTAGCCGTTGCATCGACTAAACACTCTTGACTGAATTAAAACGAAAAATGTAATCTTTATCTCTAACACTTAGGGTCGAATGGGCGATCGAGGTATTCAGGGTCCAAAAGGAATGGATGGTCCAATGGTAAGTCACAGCCGGTTAATAATTAATGATATCACTATGAAGTTTTTCGGTATTTCATTCGGATCTTGAGAGGTATATCGATTTAACCGAAGGAAGCCTTGAGATAGCACTAATTGACTGATTGATATAGATGAGCTGATTTTTAATATAACTCATGCGTGAAAAGAGATCATTGAATCTCGTGGACTTTAACTGCTCTTTGAAGCCTACAGTTTTCCTCAAGCTTCCCTCTCGGAAAACTGTTCGCTTCTTGGAAACAGGTAATGGTTGTGGACAAATATCCGATCATGTTTTCGCGCCAAATGGAGGTTGTTGTTTCTAAAACTGATATGTTGTCTGATAACAGGGAGATGATGGAGTTCCAGGACCCCCGGGAACGAAGGTAAGTCACGTCATTACACGAAAAAACTCAGGAGCTAACGAATTCACAAACTTCCCAACTACCAAGCAAACGAAAACAAGAACTCACTAATAGCGAAGTTATGAACCAACGAATCAACGAATTAACGAACCAACGAACTGATAAACAAACAAAACAACAAACAAACATACAAGCCAACAAAGAAACTAACGAACCAAAAAACAACAAGTGAAGTGGCGCACTTGCGCGCTAACGAATTAACGAAGTAACGAACTAAAAAACGAATATGCGAAGTAGCGCACTAACGAACTAACGAACTAACGAACCAAAAGACTAACAAGTGAAATAGAACATTAGGGCGCTTATGAACAAACGAACTAAAAAACATACGAGCGAAGAAGCGCAGTGGCGCGCTAAAGAACAAATGAACTAAGGAACCAACAAACTAACGTGCTAGCGCACTAGCGCATTAACACGCGAACGAACTAACAAACCAAAACAGGTAATCAGCGAACGAGTTATCAATCTAACGAAGAAATGCATGAAGGATTTCTGAATGCGTGCCTAGCATATTAACTTTTCGGGCTTTTGCATCGTGCAGATTGCTATTGAAACACACGTTGGCGGTCTTTATCGGTTAAGTGAATCCTGAACTTGCAGGGCTCTAAAGGGAACAGCATTATGGGCCCACCAGGTCCGCCAGGACCACCAGGGCCCAAAGGGGATGCATCCATGATGGAGGTGATTCTTAGACCCGAGAAAGGAGACCAAGGAGCTCCGGGTCCACCAGGACCCCCAGGGGATTCAGGTGCATTTGAGGGCATTAAGGGAGAACCTGGACAAGCTGGGGAACCTGGAGCGAAGGGTGAAAGAGGAGTTGATGGAAGGAATGGAACTAAAGGACAGAAAGGAGATGCTGGTACCTCCCCTGGGCCTCAAGGTACATGAGCTACTCTGGAGTCATATTCTAACCTAATTTTATTTTGAAGAAGTAATTGAGGCTTTTGAAAGGAACTTGGTAAAATTCACGATGTCTTGTAGGTTTGCAAACTTGAATCAGGAATATCACTATTGCCCTCGCAATTTTGATATATGTGGTGAAGAACTATGTTTTTATTACTCCTTTTTTTATTTCTATTTTTTGAGTAAATGAACCCAATAACTGGGTCGCAATTTTTGTGACGATTTCTATGCTTTTCACAGAATAAAACGAATTCACTCTTTTTGCATTAATTCCGATGTCATACATCAAATTTTTGTGTGCGCTGCAATTAAGCGAATACCTGCCAGTGTAATGTTTCCTTCTCTCTATCTTCAGGTGCCAAAGGAGAAAAAGGCGAGAGTGGAGATTCTTGTAATTGTAACTTTACCAAAGGGGACATCGGACCCATGGGTCCTCAGGGACCCCCCGGTCTTCCTGGGTTGCCGGGCAACAATGGAAAGAATGAAAGCGGGGAGCCAGGAGACAAGGGGGAGCCTGGGCCAAAAGGAGAAAAGGTTCGACTTTGATTTATCCATCACTTAATTTTCATTAAAATTTGTTGAAAAATAGCACTATGGCCTTCTAGAAAGAAAAACTTACTCGTTTATAAGGACAAAGTAGAAAACAGAAGTTACTGCAGGAGTTCTGCACTTCTAAAATGTTTCTCGCGGTTAAATGTAGACGTTAATATTATTTTTGCTGCTCTCGAGTTTTTTGTTTGTTTTGACTTCGCAGCATTTTGAGAGTGTTTTGGTTCTGTTTTTTGCCCCCAGGGTAAACCTGGGTCTTTAGGCTTTCCTGGAATGAGAGGAAAAAAAGGATCACAGGTCAGTATATAACGTGTCACCTTCAAAGTACAATGTTGGAATGTCGCCGTTGTCATGTTTACTTTGTGATTTTTTGTCAGGGAGAAGAAGGACCGCAAGGGCCTGTGGGGGATCCCGGAGAGAGGGGTCAGAAAGGAGAACAGGTAAATGATCTTGATTACAACAAATAGAAGACGGAAACTTAGTCTTGATTTGTTTAAAGGATTGAGCTATCGACCTATAACTTTTAAAGCTGCAAATGTCTGTGTCAAAACGTTTTCATAGTTATTTATTGTATTCAGTTACGAATTAGACTAATGCTGCTTCCTTACGCGAACTCAACCTTAAATTTTCAAAGAAAATCAGACGATTGAAAAGGCAAGAATCCTTATTTTACTCGCGATCAAGGTTTAAATTAAAGTGTTTCAAGGTTTAAATTAGACCTCGTTCCAAGGGTTCTCTAATGCGACAATAAAGGGCAGGAAGAGGAGGGACCCTGGGAACGAGATTTGGACTAATCCATCTTTTCATAACTTCCGACGGGTTTTTTCTCTTCCCACAGGGCTCTCAAGGAGAAAACGGTTTGAAAGGAGAAAAGGTGAGCCCGCTCGTTCAGTTATTAAAACTCAAGGCAAAGGTCTTCTCCTAATAAGCCTGGATGATGATCCTCGCAAATGTTGATTTCACTCCATATGCCAGTCTGTTGACTTTTTTAAAAACTGACGATGTCACAAAGCTACACAGTTTAAAAAAGACCATCTCTGTTGCCCCAAAAAATTTCACTTAACCTGGAATTGAGGAAAACGTTTCCGTTTGAGTCACGCGTTACACTGGTTTTGTCCTCTGTCTTTCTCAGGGAGATCAAGGCGTTGGACTCAAAGGTGAAGCAGGGGAGCCTGGTGAGACTGGTCCGCAGGGCCCACCAGGACCTCCCGGTCCAACCGTCCCAGCAATCACCGAAAAGGTAGATAGACTGCAAGAGTGTTAACTTCATTCCAAAAAAGAGCGCTGTGTATGCTACGTGTTTTCTGATGCACAAAGCTTGATTTTTCTTCCAGGGAAGCAAGGGAGAGCAAGGAAATAACGGTTCTCAAGGAGAACGAGGACCGCAGGTGACACAGGACTTATAGCTGTTCATTGTAACAAGATTCAATGATTTATTCAACCTTATTACAGTGTATTTTTAACATTTAACCGGTACTTTTTGTTTTGTTTTTGTTGTTGTTTTTTTTGCAGGGAGAAAAAGGCGAGCAAGGGAGTATTGGTTTTCCCGGTAGAAAGGTGGGTAACATAAAGTGTGTTTTTGATCGCGTCATCGTATATCTTTCCTCTGAATGACAAGCTCAGCATTGTATCCTATGAATATTTGCTTTGTAGGGTGCCACAGGACGACCAGGCCCGATTGGATTTCCCGGTAAGAAAGGTGAACCAGGCGCTCAAGGCCCCAACGGTGAGGTGAGCAACCCCTATAGATCTGGAAAAAATTGGTCAGTTTTTCCGTGATTTCATTGTCATCACTACATCAGCCTCCCTGCTACTTCAATCAGTCTGTACAACCAAATGCTAGTGTATATTTCAAACCAGTTACTATGTCAAACCCCTTTATTAAACAACGCTCATCCGTCGAATTGTTTGTCCCTTCTTTTTTCTCTTAGATCATAAAAAAGCAATATCTGTTATTTCTCATACCTATTAGGGAGTGCCTGGAGCCCAGGGTCCCGCGGGACAAAAGGGTGAGACAGGATCCAAAGGAGACCAGGTTTGAGTTCTGCCGTGTGTATGATTTTTAAGATACAAAATTTCTTGTTTGTAATTCGTTGCTTGAGCCACGTGATTGTTTTAGCGTCAGTTATGAGCAACGAACAAAGCCAAAAGAGAAATATTAGTTTAGTTTTGCACCTGATTGGTTGAGACTGACGAGAAATATTCTGAACCAATAACAGGACGAGAAAAGAAAGAAAACCAATAGAATCCCAGATTGATTTTGAACTCAATTGAGAATTGCCATAAAGGGGGCCAAGCAAAACTTGAGCTTTCTTCAGAATAAATTTACTTGTTGCATTTTAAGCAGGTAGCGAGAACTGACTCTGCTTTGTTTTACTTAATTTTTTCTCAGGGAAAACGCGGAACCATTGGATTTCCAGGTTTAAAGGGCATAAAAGGCGCTAAGGTACGATTTGGTTCCAGACCCTGATCGGATTCACTGTATGAATTACGATAGTTGGCATTGATTCTTATGATAACTCCATTTTAGTGATACTAATGAAGTTATTGAATGCCTTTCTAGGGTGATGAGGGTAGGAATGGCACTGATGGGCAGAAGGTAGGTTCATACGGTCAGATGGTCAGTCAGTTAGAAGGCCATTATTTCATTCATTCATTCATTCATTCATTCATTCATGCATTCATTATTTCTACACTTACTCGCAAAGCAAATTTTCTTAATATCAGGTGCATTTACTTCTTAGGTCAGTGTATTTATGGCACAAAAAATTGATAGCAACGTCTAATCAAGTATCGGAAATCACCTCTTTTTCATTGTTATTTACTTCTTTTTCAGGGGGAGCCTGGTGAAAGCATCCAGGGACCACCTGGGCTTCCGGGGCCTCCGGGGCCCCCTGGTGTAACAACGGTAAGTGTGTCAAACTTGTTTGTCAATTTTACCATTATTTTTCTTTTCTTTAATTTCCTTTCTGTATGAAATTGGCATCAAATAATACGTGTGTGATGTTTTTTTTTTTTAACTTAGGAGACGAATACTGGAGGAGAATCATCAGCTCAGATTTCTGCACAAAAAGGCGACAAGGTGAACAGAACTTTTCAGTGGTAACTGATGAGTGAATAGGTTTGCTCATCAGCGGAGTTGGGTTTAAAAAACTGATTGAGTGAAGAATTTTTGAAAAAATGGGGCCGATTGGAGAAAAATCTGTGGACCGCTGATTGGCAAAAAAAAATAGTACTTGATTTGGGATTCTAGCAGATAGTGGATCACATTGTTAATCTTCGGTCGGCCTTGCTTGTTTTGTTGGTGCCTTGTAAACTTTGTTTACAGCTTTCGACATTTACAGAAAGCTAGAAAATGTCTCTAGACTCGTAAACCCCGGCGATGTGGAATTTCAATTTTTTATAAGCTGTAACGCTCTCAAGGATTTGATGGATATCGAATAAAAAAATGTTTTTTATTTTGTTGATCCAAGACTGAAATAAGAGAGTTATCTTTTCAGGGTGATATTGGAAGGATTGGTTTTCCGGGCAAGAAAGGAGAAAAGGTGACATTTAGTTTAAGAAACATCCATATCAAATGAATATCGGAGCCGAAGAAAAATGAACTCATTGATTTTTATCTGTATTCTCCTCTTTTCATGGCCCATTTGATTGTTATGAAGCTTCTAACGATGTTCTTTTTGCGTTCAGGGGACCATCGGGGAGCAAGGCATCAAAGGAGAGAAAGGGGAAGAAGGACAGGACGGAAAAACCGGAAGATTGGGATTCCCAGGGAAAAAGGGAGACCCGGGGGAAAAGGTAGATTTATAAGAAGAATTGTAAAAATAATTTGCTCCATTGAGGGATTGGTATAACTATTGTATTATTGTTTCTTTTTTGAAGGGAGAGCGTGGATTTAATGGAACGACAGGACCTCAGGTACGGAGGTTTGAAATATGAATCTTTAAATAACATAGCAAATGATTGTAAAAATTAAGAACTTAATTCCTTTTTATCCTCGAATTTTTTAGGGAGAGGTTTATTTTTAGGATCAATGTCAGTATCTGAGTAAGCCCGCTCCTCCCCCTCCCCTAACCCAACATTAACCCTTGCTTGTTATCGGTCGACTGTTATTGAAAGGAAAGGAGTACGTGCGCATTTGCTCAGATACTGACTTCGATCTTGTTTTTCAACTTTCCTTAAATAACTGGTACCTTTTCGAGGTGTTGCCCTCAAGTGTTTTTCTTTCGTTATCACTTCAAAACACTGCCTCAGAAATACACACTCGCTAAGATTAACTTCTTCCTTTTGAACATTTAGAATATATTCTTAATAACATTTTTGTTTATTCCTTCATAGGGCATTACGGGTCCGCCCGGTAGCCCTGGGGAAGTGGGACGCCAGGGGCCCATTGGTTTCCCTGGACGTATAGGCAACACGGGTACCCCAGGTTCTCCCGGGCCCCCGGGACCTCCAGGAACCCCTGGACACAAGGTAATAGTTCCTTTTTGTTATTTTTGTTTTCTGCAACGTTGCAGGAGACAAATGAAAAGGTGATATTTCGTTGTTTTAATAGCATCTCATTTGATATTCCAATTGTTAGATCTCTGGTATCAACCTAACTCTGTATAGATCTACAGAATGTTTCTAATTGGTTGTTTATCTGCTGTTGATTTCGCGCGCTTGTACCAACCAATTAGAGGCATTTGTAGGGTTAGTGACCATGAAAGAATCTTCGTTAGAATGTGGAATGATATTAGAGTCACAGACTTAAAAAGTGAAACGCACAACGAAGAAGTCGGTTAACAACTTACAGGAAATGTTTCACCTGTTCGTCTTTCAGGGAGAACCTGGTGAAGAGGTTTCCATCGGATCCACAGAGGGAGTGAATGGCAATGGAGGCAAAGCCAAAGGAGAAAAGGTTCGTTGAATCCAGTTTTGTTACCATGGTAACGATGAGGGCGCGGTGGTTTGATGGTTGTCTCGTTAGACTCGGATCGAAAGTCTGGGATCGAGTCCTGGGACCACGTCATTGTGTTACACTCTTATACCCAGGAGCATGAATGGTTACCAACGAATTGTAACCGGAAACCAGAATGAATACCATGGCTAACCTACAATGATGATAAGGTTTAATCAACTGAGTTGAGAAAGCAAATTAACCGCTGTAAAGCTGACTTTTCGAGAGTTAACCCTTCGTCAGAGCGACGTGATACACCCAGTGACGTAGCACCACTATTTCCTCAGAAACTGACTCGCTTTTTTATTTGTAACCTACAATGGATTAGAATCCCAACCATGGGGGAGTAACAATTTGTCCAGAGGCTTCGTGCGACAGAGGTCGGGCGAAGCTTAGGCTGGATAAACTACTTGGCTGACACGTGTACACTTTAGCTTCGCTTAATAGTTAACTTTTTTAATCTTTTCACAGCCCGTTCGAATTTTCACCCCAGCATGCGCCTTTGGTCGTATTTGTTTATTTGTTTGTTTGTTTGTTTATTTCCAGACTGATTGATCTTGCTTAGTTATATGTTGTATCTATTCTTGTTTTTCATAGGGGGATCAAGGCGAGATTGGCAAACCAGGTTCCCAGGTGAGTTTTTCCGATAAGTGAGCATCTCCTTAGACTTGCGTATCGGAGAGCGACACAATTTAAACTTTTCCGACGTGTTTTTGTTGTCGAGTCCTCCTTCAAGTTTAATTCATACCGCCATACATCATTAGCAACAACAAACTTTTGCGTTGTTGTTTAGCTTTGATAAGGTTGAAATGAGCTATTGTTAAATTATCAGTGTTCGTAACAAAAAACATTTTTCACCCTTTAACTCCAATGAGTGACCAAAACAGAATTTCTCCTTACAATATCAATACAATATCAAGCAGATAAGTGATGAGAATAAAGAAAAATATCATTAGGGGAATTATAAGTTGATCCAGTACCAAATTCTCTGACCTAACATCACAAGAACTGTATGGTAGACAGTAAAGAGAACTACTAATGAGATCTTGGGAGCTAAAAGGCACCTTGTTTGTTCTTAGGGAGAGAAAGGAACAAACGGAACCAACGGGATAAAAGGAGAAAAGGTGAGAAGAGAATCGAACAGTCAAACACTGTTTACTAATTCTTTTCTGATGGGAAAACGAATGGAAGCGAGTCAAGACGCAGCTTTTAACATACTCTGTGGTGCCATAGTTGCTGTGGTTCAACAGCTTCACGAGCTTCCAAGTGCACTCTATTCTCTTCAGACGACTCCTTAGGGCAACACTACAATAACCAACCTTAATTCTAGAGTTTGACCTTATTTTATTTCATTTTATTTTTAACAGGGGGAACAAGGAGTTGGTGAGAAGGTATGGAATTATTTACCAAGGCAAAGTTGTTCAAAGGATGGACAACGTTATCCGACGGATGCGTATAATTGCTAACGAAACATACTGAACTAACCATCAAATAGAGATTTACTCACTAAATAGCGTTATCCATCCTCTGAACAACCAGGGTCAGATGATAACGTGATAATTCACATATTTACGTGATATATTTGCCGTTAACAAATCATGACATTCAATTCTCCTAGGGTCAAAAAGGTGATAATGGCATCGCAGGAAAGAAGGTTAGATCGAACGTTTTCATCTCACAAAATACGCTTAAAGTTGACTTTGTGTTCTCTGTAAAGAATTTCTGACTCCAGGTTTAATTTTAGGGAGAGGCGGGAGTAGGAGGTGAAAAGGGGACCAAAGGAGAACAAGGGGTCCAGGGAAAACAGGGACCTGAAGGTCCCGAAGGTCCTCAAGGTCCCCCAGGAGAGACTGGTGAATCAGGTGATCCAGGGGAGACTGGGAATACAGGACAAAAAGGACAGAAGGGGGAGAGTGGAGACGATGGGATAAAGGGAGAACCTGGACAAGCAGGGAACGATGGAGTCAACGGAACCAAGGGGAGTAAGGTCAGGAAAAGTTATATTTCTTAGTGCACTAATTATCGTTATTATTGTAATCATTATTATCATTAACATCATTATCATCATCATCATCATCACTATTATTGTTACCATTATTATTATTGCTATAACTTGTCTGTTTATTAGTTAGTCTTAGTTTCTTTTACTTTCCTATTAATTAATTCGTTTTTGAAGATTCACATACTTCTTCCAGTAAATGTTTTCACTCAGTCCATTCACTCCGTCGTACGATTGTTGGCTTTTAATTAAGAATTCAAAATTCTGGAGGGTAACTAGTAGGTAACCTCATAGGACTACAATTCATTTATACAAAATTTCATAACTCCAATTTTGTTTTCTCTCTGATCTTTAACAAGACGTCAAGCCTTCAGTTCAACCACCCTTTACTTTTGTCCACAGTACATCGTTTTACAGGATGTTCTTTTTTCAGGAAGGGTTCGTTTTATCTTAATATTTTTTAGGGTCAAAGAGGCGGCCTAGGTTTCCCCGGACTCAAAGGTGCAACAGGAAGCAAGGTGAAATATTCGTTTTGCCTCCATACATCTTTGAACAGTTATTTTTGAAGCTCAAACCTTTTTGATTGAATTTTATCTTTCATAGGGAGAGGCTGGAATACAAGGATTGCAAGGATTAAAGGTAATTTTTTTGACAGAAAAGAACACTCACTGAAAATACAACCTACTATGAGAGCCAAATTAGCTATTAATCACTAATCACAGCTATAAATGAGTAAGGACAGGTTTAATGTTCAATTAACAATCCACACGTTTTAGTTTAGCATTACTATACCTTGCAGAGTCCTGTTTTTACTTAACAATGGGACATTTGACATCTAGAGTGGAAGAAATCATCGACCATAAACTAACCTCGTATCTATAGCCATCCGTTTGTTACACATTACATGTGCGGCTGAACACCACTTATAGTTTAGCGATCTTTTACTCCCTAGGGAGAGCCAGGGAATTCAACTGAAGGACCAATGGGACCGCAAGGACCGTCGGGAATTCCTGGTAACCCAGGCCCTCCGGTGGGTATCACTAAAAGGAATAAGATCAACAAAACATCAAAATACGCTCTAAACATTGTTATCTGGATCAAAGCCTATCTGAGCAACTGCGCACCCACCCCTTCCCTAACCCAACATTGTACTTAACTTGTTATCAGTCGACTGTTGTTGGGTGGGAGGGGTGGGTGCGCAGTCGCTTAGATACTGACTTTGATCCGTTTATTTCAGCAGTTTGCAGGATGTTTATCACAAATAAACCTGTTATACGACCTTGCTGACCAATGAGTTATTTCTTTTAGAAGAAAAATGGGATCAATATCAGTATCTGGGCAACTGCCCATCTACTCCTCCCCTAACCCAACAACAGCCTATTGATAACAAGGTAGGGTTAATGTTGGGTTGGGGGAGGGGTAGGTGGGCAGTTGCCCAGATACTGATATTGATCCGAAAAATGTTAATTGGTCCAAGTATTTCTCAAGCTTTACAATAGTGATTTAACCTACAACAGCAGCATGTATGCTTTGCCTCTATCATAGGGACCACCCGGAATATCTGGTCCTCCTGGGACCCCAGGGAAAGATAGCGATGTTTCTGGTCCTCCGGGGCCACCAGGACCTCCAGGACCCCCTGGAGAAAATGCAGAGATTGGCTTTACTAATGGACAGACAGATAATTCAGGGGTAAGGTCAGAAGATTTCCATGTTGCCTCAGCTGTCAATCAATGTTTACACCACTTGTATTCATATTATCATTATTTCCATTATTTCCATTACCACATTGGTTCACGGTCTTTAGGTCCGTGTTATCTCATAGGTGCTACAGGTTACCCACAGTTACAGGTTACCCACAGTTCAAACTGTCCTTCCACGTCATTCAGCGTTTTAGATCCTTTCTCAAGATTCTTGCATCTCAAAGAGAGTAGCTTTATTCTTATTAATATTTTCCTTATATATCGATATATATATATATTTTTTTTTTTTTTTAATTAATTTTTTTTTCGATGGAAGGTGCTGGTATTTGATACCCAAGACAGACTTATCCGTATTGTAGAGAAAGTGAAACAAGGCACCATGGCTTTTGTCATCTCCGACCAGATGTTATATATAAGGGCCTTACGCGGCTGGAGAGCGATCACGGTAAGAAATCATTCCACACTTTCTTGTCTATCTCTTCTTTACCTTCTTCATCATCATTAACATCATGTTTGTAAATAAAATAAGAGAGGTGGTAAGTTTTGAGCTCGATAGAGAAGTAGAGAAAGAACCCTGACTAACCTTAACCCTTTACACTGCTACATCATTATGAGCTCGATAGAGAAGTAGAGAAAGAACCCTGACTAACCTTAACCCTTTACACTGCTACATCATTATGAGCTCGATAGAGAAGTAGAGAAAGAACCCTGACTAACCTTAACCCTTTACACTGCTACATCATTATGAGCTCGATAAAGAAGTAGAGAAAGAACCCTGACTAACTTTAACCCTTTACACTGCTACATCATTATGAGCTCGATAGAGAAGTAGAGAAAGAACCCTGACTAACCTTAACCCTTTACACTGCTACATCATTATGCATATTCCCTCTACTGTTCTCCAAACATTTCTTAAGCTGCTGACAAGGAGAATTTGTTTAACAATTAAGAGTTTCTTTGGTTGGTGATCATTTCCTTTATTCTCATGACCTTAATGTATGATTCAGAGGTGATATTATTGGGAGAAATTAGATGCTGGTCCCTCTTAGGGGTTAAAGGGTTAACTAACCCTAACTATAAATCTTGCTCACCGTAGAGTCTCTCTGGCTCAGTGGTAGAGCATCGCAGCGCGGATCCCAAGGTCTGAGGTTCGATTCCTCATGGAGACTTAAAATTTTTTTTTTTGTCCCATGCTCGTAACAAGACGAAAAACATGAATATCATCACTGTCATTCGCATTACTATTGTTATTAGCTTTAGTATTGTCATACTATTATCATTATCGTTGTCATTATTGCGATCATTATCAACCGTCATTTTAAGACCATGGGAAGATCCCGGGAGAGCAGATTAATGTTTGTTCTTATTCTTTCAAGCATTTCTAGTTGTTTTAAGCGACCCCTAGTTGCTTGTCAAGTTCTATTGCACAGCTCCCGTCTTCGTCGTTTTTCTAACAACGTTTAAATTATCGTAAAAATTTTTCTTGTTTTCGTATTTTTTTCTATCTTGTTCCCTTGCCTTATGCCCACAGCTTGGTCCAACCATCTTCGCGGGTCCAACAGAGGCTTCCCAAACGACGAAACTCTCCACTACCAAGGTATTTCAATAACATAAGGTATATTTCTGCGTTGTAACCGAACAGCAAAACTGTCAGCTTTTTTATTACTTCCTCCATCGATTCGGCTGAGACACCGCCTGTCTCCTTACCTACCGCGCTTAGCTAACGCGCTTAGCTATCGCGCTTAGCTACCGAGCTTAGTTACCGTGCTTAGTTATCGAGCTTAGTTACCGTGCTTATTGGCAAGTTTTCTCTTTCGCAGCCTCCTACGAATCTCATTTTGTCTCCAGCAAACGTCAAACTACGAGGACCATATGTAAGTAGTGCATATTCTCTCTTACGTATTACTCGACTATAATTGTATGGGTGAGCTGAAACATTGACAGTTATCATATGTGACTAGTTGCCTTCTGCAAATACCACAATAGCTCAATCAACTCTTTAGTAACCATGCTTAAGTAACAATGCAAGTCTACTTCATGTGATGGTGGTACATGTGTCAACTATGAACATAAATGTATGGATCGATTTTCTTTGCAGGTGCGCATGGTCGCCCTCGATACACCGCAGACCGGTCAGATGCACAGCGTGAGGGGTGTGGATGAAATGTGCTGGCGGCAGTCCCGTGCTGCCAATTTAACCGGAGCATACCGAGCTTTTATTTCTAACAGGCTCCAACATGTTTATTCAATCATCCACAGAGAGGACAGAGATCTCCCTGTTGGCAACCTTCAGGTAGAACTGGGTTACTCGATAATATTTCATGCATGATAGCCTCCCGTCAAAAGTTTTCTCGATCTACTTCATTGCTAATTGGTTGCTCCAAGGTACTTCGTGTAGTTAACAAAAATGTATTTCTCGAATTTTTTGTTAGGGAGATCAGCTGTTTCCTTCTTGGAGATCCTTATTCAAGTTACAATATGCATTTAATCCTGATATCCCAATATATTCATTCAATGGATCAAACGTTCTAAAAGACCCAGCTTGGTGAGTAATTGTACAGGTAGCTCTTGTCTGGTTGATAAAGTGAATTGTTTTGGTCAATGAATAAAATAGCTAAATGAATATTTCGCTGGGTGGATGGCCTACTGACTAACTAGCAAGCAGACTGACGGACAAAATAACTGATTGACTGACTGACCGATAAAGTGCAGTGTTTTTTCATCAAGTGCAAGTGAAATATTTATCAAATGGATGACGATAGACCTTTGCAAACCTTCAATTGATAATTGACGTAGAGTTTTAGCTAAGTGACTAGATGATTAACTTTATAAATAACTGATTGTCTGCGGTGGTTGGCCTCTTGACTTCGTCAGTGAATAACTGAATGACTAGCTCATTAGCTGATTGGCTGCCTGTTTGACTGATCGACTTTCGGGACCACTAATTGGCTGACTGGCCGACGTTACGCCTGGTTACTTTGAACAAGGAAAGTTTCAAACTTCTCTGTCGCCCAAACGGTCATCTTTTTATTCGATTGTGTTATCTGTCTTTTACACAAAGGAAAGTAGGTTTGATTGCTTTTATCTGATCCCTTGACGCCAAAACGCAGAAAAATAAATTTAAAACTAACTTACCTTGTGACAAAGGTCTAGAAAAATTATGTAGACGTTAACGAGTTTGTGAAACTATTTACAGGCCCCTCAAGCACATCTGGCACGGATCGCGAAAAAATGGCCACAAGTACCGATTTAATTGTCGAAGCTGGATGAGCAGCCGCTCCAAGGACTCCAGTACGGCCTCGGCCTTGAATGGCCGAGAGCTAGCCTTGGCCGAGCGCGAGTTTCCTTGCAGCAGTAATCTTGTGGTGTTGTGTGTGCATATAAACCCCACACTACGCCGCCGATACAGATCTCGCCATAAAAAGGTTTTGTGAAGAATTGTTCAAACAGATATGTTCAGAAAAAAAGAGCAAAAGGAGGAGATTGGGCACTAGTCAAGTTTTGGCTCACCATTGTGCAGTCTCCGAGGTGTCGATAACGCACCAGGAGACAAGCAAGTGCGAAAAGAATCTGTTAAAAAAAAAAATTAATTTGTTATTTCAATTCCATTGGACGAATGTATTATCATATTTATTTTCTATGAATCCTTAAGCATTTTAAAGAAAGCTTTAATTATTTTGCGTTATAAATAATATGTCGATATGAGCGGGTGTTCTTATCCGCGCTTAAGAAAGATAGGGTGCCAGGTAAAAACGTTAATATTTTTATAATAGTTGATGGATGGGACATGTTAATGGATTCTCCATAAATACGTTTCACATAGACTGAAAATTATTTTCAATAATGCTACTATTTCATAATTCTCAATCGAGAGACAATCCCTCTTGATCTCATATAAGTGGTTCGCAAGTGTCTATCAGTAATGCGTCATAAAGAATTCTCTTGGTTTTTGATTTGATGAAACCATGGAACGACGAGGATAGAAAATGTTAAAAAATAAATATTTTTTTGCTGTATATTAATATAGGTTTTTTTGACTCACTATTTTGCATTCAAAGATCGTGAGCTACATTAATTGGGTACAGCCTTGAATTAATTGGGACAATCTATGAAATACTGAAGATAAATAAATTATAATGTGATAAGGTCCCATGGAACCTAAATTGTTATTCGTGAACAGGTCATATTTTGTTTTTAATGATGTGGATATGACTATGTTTTAACTATGTCTGTTTCTAAGCAGGTGACTAAATGTTTGAAATACCTAGAAATGTTACATTTTTTAGATAAAATAATTTCTGTATTTGCTATAATAAACCTATATGTTATTGGTAAATTCTATTTCCAAGAAAAATTTTCATCTTTATAAGGCTTTCTAGCAGTTAACCTCAAAGATATTTTGGCGATGTCCCATGCAGTTCTTCACGGCTGGTGGCTGGTGGTGGAAACAAACTCTCCAAACTCCCTAGAAAGACAACACTGCCTTTAGCGTGTGTCAATAGAAAGATTTGACATCGATATCATTGCGCATAAATACTCGAGAAGATGTCAAGTCTCCTGAGGCAATTGCAGTTTAATCACTAAATCTTTAATCTGAGGCAGAAAAGCGGCTTGGAAATTTCATCCGCGGGGCCATTAGCTGTCGTGGTTTGTGTTATGGTAATATGTTACGTCACAGACTCGGACTTCGATCTCTGTTCATATTTAATTTCAGTTCTTCAGAAAGGAGGAAGACGTCTCTTTAGTACACCGGTCACAAAACCGAACAACCAATAACAACTGTCTCGCATTTGCGGAGCTGCGGTTTGTTTCAAGGTAGTGATCGGACAAAGTGTAGTCAACAGTTGCAGAAACTACCAAAAAAAATCAACAGTCAGATTTTCTTCGCAGCGGGGACACGGTTAGTGTTAAGGGATACGAGTAAAATTTACAAAGCATCTATGATGACTTAGCTCCCATACAGTGACAACTACTTGCGTGAAGCGTTAAACGTGATTTATGAAATATAACGCGCTTAAATACAAAGTGCCACGGCTCCGTTCTAGTTCCACTGCGAGATGTTCGGATTTTTTTCTGCTCAAAATTGTGCATTGAAATCGTTGATAGGGATCATCAGTATGCAAGTATTTTGCATAAAGGTAACTGAAGTTGATCGGCGTGGGTTCGCAACTTTTTCTTTTTGAAGGAAATAACAAAACAAAAAAGATTGATTTTATTGTGTGCGGTTTAATTTCATTAAAAAAAACATTAATAAATCACTTGTCAATTTATTGTAGTTGCTAAGTCATTTGTTGCCATTCCTGTTGATTTATTTTTCGTTCTAAGTCGTTTTCTTTGCGAATTCACCGATCTCAATATCTAACAAGTTGTTCAGAAGTTGCCTGAGTAACGACAAGCTCAGATTGCCATATCTGACTGTTTTTCTTAACAGCATTTACTCGAATAGGAGTCGAAGAAGCAATTTTAAATTTGTACAGGGATGAATTTATATCTTGCTACCCTCCACTAGAGCTGAATTTTCACGAGCGACGACAAGGTTAACTGAAATCCCGTGAGTGATCAAGACAGAATTTCTCCTTACAATATCAATACAATGTCAACCAGATAAGTGACGAGAATAAAGAAAAATATAATAAATGATAATAAGTCGATCCGATACTAACTTCTCTGAACTAACGTTATAAGAATTGTATGGTTGACAGTAAGGAGAATTACAAATTTGATCTGGGAGTTAAAGGGTCTAACCGGCACAAATAATAACGTGTGCAAAATTCGTTTCGCCCACAAATTTCGGCCAGAACTGAAAGGGAAAAATACCGAATGGGAAAAAATTGCGTCTTTTCTACCTTTAGAAAATATCTGTAGAGAGGCCACATTGTTCCATTTATTTTTCGAGGATTGGGGCAAATCACTCGACTCACTTGGTCCTTGCAAAACACAGACAAAAATAATTTATTCCTATAAATGATGGGGATTATATTACAAGATCATTTGATTTTATCAACTGAGTAGATAATGTAAATTGGTCACCGTAAAGAGTTTCTGAAGCTGACGTTTTGAGCGTTAGCCCCGCGTCAGAGTGAAAGTTGTCGCTCGGCCTTGACGAGTTCTGCCTCAACCAGCTTCAGCCTCAACCAGCTTCAGCGCCACGTGGTTTAAAACCGACCAGTTTTACTTAAATTAATTAGAAGGTCTCCGGCGCCGAGTATCTCGGAGAAACGACCTTCTCTCAGCACACATTCTCTATCGTTAGGAACGGTTGGGAGGTAACGGAAGACAAAGAACCCTTGAGATAGGAAAGCGTACTCCGACATCCGTCAGAAGGAGGTCATCTCGGGTAGATTTCCGATTACGAAATCCGAGCTCGCCCGATGTTGTCTTCGTGATGAAGGCCCTATTTAGCATATGACCTCCTTCTGACGGATGTCGGAGTACGCTTTCCCTTGAGATAAGGTGTTGAGGGAATCTACCCATAATGCCTTTCACTCCCCACACCACTTGTAAAATGTCACGCACTATTTTTGCCTCTAATTCTCAGAAGGAAAAGTGTTACTGACTGATACACTCAGAAAACAAGTAATTTGGACTTTAAATTATCCCTTTTGGACGGTTTGATTTCTGAGAGGATTTTGTAAGTACTCAGGTTGTTTTCTATTCATTTTATTTTTTAACATTTGTACATAGCGTTCTTTACAACGAGCACAAATACATGAACACACCACCGTCGATCGCTACTTTCTGCGATGCTGGCCTCTTCGTTCCACGGAAAGGTTGTTGAACCTTTTGGCCTTGTGATTCTCTTTTGTATAGATATTGTTGCGAATAGATTTTTGCTTGATATATAACGGCGTACTATGTGACTAACACAGTCTATATACTGTAAGATTTTACGCCAGTAACTAACGGCGTAGTTTCTTCCAGTCGGTATATTATATACTGTAAGATTTTACGCCGTTAGTTAACGGCTTAAAATCTTACATATATATACACCGACGCAGATAGTGGCGTAAAATCTTACAGTCTACAAAGTGTTAGTCACATATTACGCCGTTAACTATCGAAGGAAGAGCAGGACTATGGAAATTCTACGCGGTCGATCGAACAATTCTGAATCTGCACTTTCATCCAGTTGATGCCAACTTACCTTCGAATGACAGCATCTTCTCAAACCTACAAATAATAAATTGTATACACGATCGATTGCTGTATTTTTTTAATGCTAAAGCTTAGTACGCGGATTTTCGTGCGTTTGCTTCTTCAGACGCTTGAACCATGATTACCATCGTTACGAACTTTGTTCCACACGTGTACAACAGGACGCTTCAAAATCGATTTACATTAGAATGTTAAGTGAAATGAGAAACTTCGCGATCGCCAAATACTTTATATTACACAAGGACTAGTTTTTCGCTCATTTTTAATATAATTTCTGTTATTCGGCTTCCTCGCTTGCCACAATATTTTTGGCGATTTAGTATGATGCCGTAAACAAATGCGGTTATTTTCAAGCACGTCCGAAATTAGTGACTGCTTGTGTCATCGGTTCAGAAAGTCTTGTTCAGCATGTGTCTTCACGTGAAATTCGAAAGAATATTCTGAACATCTTCTAGATCTTGCCGGTTAACTGAGAATTGTTACATTCTTGTATTAAATTCATGAAATCTTTATGCCGGCCGAGAAGTAGTAGGGTCCAGTTAGTGATTTACACATTTCGCGAATGAGCGAGCTATGAGGCGTTTTCGATGCCTCAAGTCCTTTGTAGAGAGAAATTTAAAGGATGTAAAGTAAACTCTAATAAGCGACGAACTTGATTAAAAAAATATTCGAGTTTATGGCTGTATTTTTCCGAATATTATTGAAAATTTATGAAGCTGCCACTTAAGGAATGCGTGACAAGAGTGATGATTTTGTCACATGCCTAGCGTCAGATACAAATATTTAAACAGTTTCAAGCAATCGTTTGACATCATAAACAAAATTCATCCAGAAACTATTTTTTGTGGGCATCCACAGTAATTTGAGAGCGAGACGATAAAGAAATAAAAATTATTAACATTGTGAAATCGGACTAAAAGGCTTTTGGGTTCTTATCACAAGACGGAAAAAACTTCGCTACCTCAAGGTGTTTGGTCACGCACTCTTGTATACCTTTCGAGGTTGTGAAATTCGACATGAAGACAATTTGAGCTCCAATTTCAATAAATTTTAGGGCTTTCTCTCTCGACGAAAACACAATCTGAACGTTTTATAGAGCCTTTGTAAATTTCTAAAGCATCAAAAATAAGAATAAAAGTTAATTTGCCGTATCGGCAATCGGTAAGCAGGACAGCTCTCCAGGGAAGTTAGCTTTATTCATAGTAATCTCCGATCAGGACCAGTAAAAGGTCAGTGCATTGAAATAAGATTTTTTTCACAAGGTAGTGACTTCAGGCGTCCGATGACGTCAAGGAGCTGAATCAGACGCTTAAAGTATAAAACCGAACAAGTCCATGAGGAATTCAAACGCATCGGTGAAATCCCTTAGGGTGACTTCTAATTGCTGATCTGATTTTATTTTGACGACCTTTTTTTTAAACTGTTTTTCACAGGTCTTCAAACTGTCATGGCGAACAAAAAATGGGTATTCTGTGGATTTTCTAGAGCGGCTTAACCAGTGTGCAAATCCTTCTCCGTCCGTTGCACACTCTGCTTCAATTTACGTGAATTTCTTATCGTTCATGTAATGGCGGAAATTAACAACTTTACTTGCCGTGGTAAATTGTGGAAATTTCTCCTGTTTTTAAGTGTAGTATGTATTTTCCTTTTACTGAAGTTTGACGGCCAGAAGAGAAAACCTGTTAGAGGTCCAGAAATTAAAAATGTTCTTTATTCCAGTGAAGGGTAAGTTCCTATCTTGTTTACTTCTCATTCTTAAGTATGGTTTACCCCGTTAACTCTTAAGATCTGATTGTTAATTCTCCCCTCCATCTGTTACACATTTCCTTGCTAATTAGTTGCGAGAATTTGGTGCCATACCATGATAATAGACCTGATATTATAGGGAGAAGATATATTTTAATCACTTCTGGGAATTAAAAAGTCAATGACATGAACATAATTGTTGTGAGGAAACGTGACTTTACATTACATTAATGGAGAAGACGTGACGTTCGTGATGTGTTGAGATGCGCTATTCCTGTATTCCACAAACCAATAGTACAACAGTACATCTACTGAAACGAGGCTTCCCATGCGATCAAACCAATGATTGAGCAGAATTAAAACAATAGATTTCAAAATTTTCAAATCAAGCCAATCAAATATTGGGAACAATCAATGAAATCTATTTTGGAGACGTTTTGGTGTTCTTGGCTTCTTTATAAGCATATGTCTTTTTACTTCAACGGAAGATCACGCGACAGGCCAGACCCTGCGGTGGGGGGGGGGGGGGGGAATTTGAGAGTTGTACTTATTGTATTCACGACTTTTTTTTTTCCTTTTTTGATATCAGAACGGAAGAAGCTAGAGGAAAAACATCAACAAAACCATCAACTAAAACAACAATAACAGCAAAAGAAACAACAACAACACAAGTAGCAGCTACAACGGAAATTACCACTTTAATTACCTCATCGACCACAACTATATCGAGTGAAAAAGTCACCAAAGAAACGAAATGTTCCCCAGAACAATACGTTCTTTTTCTCAAAACACACAAAGCAGGTTCAAGCACAATGTCGAACATCTTCTTTCGTTATGGTGATTCTCGAGATTTGTCTTTTGTTCTTGGCTCAGACACTCTAATTGGATGGCCGACACGTTTCCGTATTGGACAAGCTCTCGCTTTCGATGGAACCCGGCCGAATTTTCTTTGCAGTCACACAAGATTCAATAAGAAAGCCATGAACCATTTGTTTCCAAAAGACGCCAGCAAATATGTGACAATCGTCAGAAACCCCGTCAAACAGTTCGAGTCAGCTTTTAACTACATGGAAATCGGAAGAAAATTTGGCTTTGGGACAAACCCAACGGAAGCACTGAAAGCGTTTCTGAAGAATGGGATAAGTTTCAATGACATAAGAAAATCAACTTTAGCCAGAAATCCACAAATGTTTGATCTAGGTTTGGACTTCAAGTTTTATCAGGATGCCAAAGCCATTAAAGAGTACATTGAATTCCTGGAAAAGGAGTTTGATTTGGTTTTAATCTCAGACTATTTCGACGAGTCTGTGGTTCTTATGAAGCGATTACTTTGCTGGGAATTGGACGATGTACTTTATGCTAAAAGCAATGAAAGACTTGACAAAGATAAAGCTCCGGAACTGTCAGATGATACGAAAGAGAACATCAAACGTTGGAACAAAGCCGACGTGTTGATGTACGAACACTTTAACCAGACTCTTTGGCGAAGAATCGAAAGGGAAGGAAAAGAATTTTACGATGATCTTGCGAACTTTCGTCGAATGAAACAAGAACTTAAAACTAAATGTTTTTCCGACAAACCAAGTAGGCAGTTAATATATGGCAACAAGTATGCTAAAGGATTTACTTTGAAGTCGGATTTGCCTTCTGATCTACAACAAAAATGCGGAAGAATGACACGGACTGAAAATAACTATTTGGCATATTTAAGGAACAAGCGAGCAGCAAAATTAGTCGGTATTTACCGCGCAGCACCAAATGAGGATGATAAAGAAAAAGTTAGTTGGGACGCAGCGAGTGATTATAAATACGTTCCTGTAAAAACAACCCGATGACCACCTTGATAACCCAGGGCGTGGTTATAATATGTTTACGTTCATGGAAATCAGCCCTCCTAGCCACGCTTTTGAGTGAAATTTGATTGTTATTAGTAGTCGAAGCCGGAGAGGATAAATTACTGGAATTAAAAAGAATATCAAGAAAACCTGACATGCGTTTTATACCAAAAAATTTATAAAGCTAATTTGCCTTTAAAGTGTGAAGAAATTTCTAGCATTTATAATAGTGTATGAATCAATGAGAAGATGGGTTGATCTAGATAGAGATTAAGAGAATCTTTATAACGTGATTATTTTAAATGAGCACAGCTGTATAAAATGAAGAAGACATTGTTTCTTAGATACTACCTGTTTCTTTTCGGCGAGGCTCTCCTACAAGAAACGATCCTAAACAGTTGTTCAGAACATTTAGTGCGCGAAAGCGCCGTCCGCCAAATAGGTTCGATTACCGGCCGCTGTTCGAGAAATAAACAACTGAACCTGTGCTAAATCCCCCATCCCCCTCCCCCCTCTCCCCTGCCCCCCCTTCCCGAGGAAAGATCGGAGACAGAACTCGAAATCACCTATAAACTTTAAAGATCATTGGTAAGTAATATTTCACATTACAACATGGAGCGAAGCAACTTATGTTGGGAGCGAAGTCATTTATTTGATGGAGCGATCTAACTTTCGAGTTGAGCGGTCTAACTTTTGGTGGGAGCAAATTGTCAGATTACGGATTATGATTTCTTCAGAATACATTCTAGGGCGAACTGGTTAAGGTGGTAGTGAACCTATTTTTCAGCTGGGGCGAACTCGCAAAAGTAGACCACATCTCAGGTATCTTACCAGTTCCACGGCGTTTCTTATTTTAGCTGCACCTTTCGAGCAAACACGGTTGGAAGAAGACGCGTGTCCATTACAGGTAAAACTAACCTCTCCAACCAAATTAGCAAGTGGACATTTTTCCACTTCTCAACGTTTCGGAACTTCAAATAAATTTTCTGTCGCTACTTTCTGGCGATTGAAATGCCCGTAAAAAGTTTTAAAATGCAAGCACACACTTTGCAAAATTCGTTCCGCGATGGCTCCTTTACCGGCCTGCCCCTCCAAAGTATTTTCTTTGGAGTTTTGCTCGTTAAAGTCATCCTGAAACATTTTTCCAGATTTCCAGGTTATCGTGCGCCTCGAGATTTGAAACACCAGTGTGTTGCGGTGACATGAAGACTGATAGGAATAAGGAATAAGGAATCTTGTTGGTTATGCCTGATTGAGATTAAAATTTGACGCCTTAAAACCACTCAGCCATACCTGGTCAAACTCTTAAGCTTAGTCTATGGTCCCCACTTTTGGAGCGCCTCACTCATGGAGCTCCCGCGGCGCATCGAAGTCACACCATGAGCTCCCCGTGGCGCGCCAACGACAATTTTTTTTAACTGATTTTTTTTTAAATTGCGCGATGGACTTCGTCGAAAAGGAGAGAATGCTCGTAGTCTATAGGTCGAGGCGAACTTCCTGCTAGGGGGCGAAAACTTTTGAGGGGTTCGATTTACCCATCATACTTTGCAACTTTCTTGTTTCAGAATATCGACGATTAGAGTGCTTGGTTACATGTCCAATCGGTCGATCGAAGACATCAGTACAAGTTCTTGGGATAGTTCCGGAGAAAAAAACACGAAAGCTTTTCGGTTTCAGACTCCGTGAGAGTATTAACCTTTTACGGTGAGTTTTTTTTTCTTTCAACGTTATTCACCAGGATTTTCGAACACCGTGCGTTCAATATGGTTCGGTTTCACGGCCAGTTGCTCGTAGACAATATCACAGTTGCTGGAAAAAACTTAAAATAACGGATGCGTTTACCTGGACAATACTCAGTGCGGGTATGATCAGCTACCTTTTGACAAAATTATACTAAATTGGTACTAAATTGTAAAAATAGAGAACTTTCTTACGAGAGTTTCACCTGTAGAGTGTTTAAACATGTCTGCATTCTTCTTGCGTAAATAATCATACCACTGTGAGTGCTAGTTAAGCTGCAACCGGCGAAATTCTGTATTTCAAACGGTTCCGCATAGACAATCTTTAAAACATGTTGCGAAAAAAGAAGATCTTGCTTTTTGTGAGACGTAGGTTCTAAAATTAGGTTTTTCGTAGACGCCCGATTCCAAAAGCGCGACTCAATTAACAGCCGGTCCAGAGGAAGAGTTAAGCAGATATCGTGTTTTGATACTTTAAATCACGTTCCTACTGGTCAGCTAAGGTTTCCGTGGTGCTGTTGTTTAGCTTTCGGGTAAAATTTCCGCACAGCCCCATCCTACATTATGCATTCAGTTCTTGAACAGAGAAAACAATGACAAAAACAATACATTTCCGTTGGGAAAACAGATTTGTTTTACAATAGTATGGGGCTGTGCGGAAACCTTGCTAGCTTTCGTTTTACACTAGTCCTATCTTTGGAGTGGAAGAGTTTTTAAACTTTATTTGAAATTATTGGTCGAACGGCGTGAATTTTGTGGAAAGGTAGGTGAGACTGCCACATCCTCAGTGACTACATCACGAGACAAAAGATTGTACTTCTTATTTGAAAACCGTCGTATCTATATTTTCTTGTCATTCAAATGAAAGTGTGGATGAACGGCGTGAATTTTTTCGAAAGGTTCTCTTGATACGAGAGACACGTGGTACGAAAGACTTTTGCAAACCTGCGATCCACATTCACTGCGATCCACATATTCCTCCTTTGAAAACCCTTCTGTCAGTCAAATGAAAAGTATTTATTTTAGTGATACTAATACATTGAGGTTCACACATTAATTTAGTTATGCACAAAGTCAGCTTGTTTGGAAAACATGGATAATCAATCTACATGACAAATAATTTCCTTTTTGTCACTAAAAATACCCTGAGGGAGACTACATTAAAAAATTTGTGGTTTTGTTTCACATACAAAAGAAGTTCAGACGCAAAATACAAAAACACTGCAGGCTTTACCCATTTTGGTCTGTAAAGGCAGGTCATTGCAGAGTGACTTTTGCTGTGTGGGTGCATATAATTTTTCTTCAGAGATAGCATCCGTACAGTCTTCAACCTTTTCTGATAACTGAAAGGCTGGGAAGCCAAGTTCGGGGAGTTCGCCAACTTTTTCCACCACAACACTATAAAGCAGTGAAATCACAAGGACACAAAACGAAACGCCTGGTAGATAACACTCTTTCTAAAGCCAGTTGGCAAAATTGTGAGAAAGTCTTTGCCATTGAAGTGCTGACAAGTGTTGACATGCATGACTGCTTGTTGACAGATCTTCACAAAAAGAAGATCTTGCTTTTTGTGACGTAGGTTCTAAAACCTACATAGACGCCTGATTCCAAAAGCGTGACTCAATTAACAGCTGGTCCAGTGGAAGAGTTAAGCAGATATTGTGTTTTGATATTTAAAATCATGTTCCTACTGGTCAGCTAAGGTTTCCGTGGTGCTGTTGTTTAGCTTTCGTTTTACACTAGTCCTATCTTTGGAGTGGAAGAGTTTTTAAACTTTATTTGAAATTATTGGTCGAACGGCGTGAATTTTGTGGAAAGGTAGGTGAGACTGCCACATCCTCAGTGACTAGTAACATCACGAGACAAAAGATTGTACTTCTTATTTGAAAACCGTTGTATCATCCGTACAGTCTTCAACCTTTTCTGATAACTGAAAGGCTGGGAAGCCAAGTTCGTGGAGTTCACCAACTTTTTCCACCACAACACTATTAAGCAGTGAAATCACAAGGACACAAAACGAAACGCCTGGTAGATAACACTCTTTCTAAAGCCAGTTGGCAAAATTGTGAGAAAGTCTTTGCCATTGAAGTGCTGACAAGTGTTGACATGCTTTTCTGTATGTTTAACTTCTAATAAGTTGTATTGGATTGACGACCAACTCACCGATGTCTCTACTCGATTTTATACGTCGGTGAGTTGGCGTTGGCGAGTTGGTCTGTCGGCGAGTTGACTGTAATTCCTTGTTGACAGATCTTCGGTTAAGAGCCAATTATAATTTTGCATCGTGAACTCTTGGGTTAATCTGTAGTCCCTACATTCTGAGTCCTGCATTTTGTAAAACAAGTTGAATCACTCAAATTGAATTATCAAAACTTACTTTCTCAGCTAAGATTTTAGTTTGTTGCCCTAGTAATATTTTAATCTTCTGAAGGGAATTATTAGGTTTGTCAGTATTTACTATTTTTAGCTTTTTATTAATTTTAGTTTGCTGTCACTGTTGGAAAAATTATTTTCTGTGTAGTGCATTTGATCATACTTTTGTTTAATTTGCACTTATAAATTACCATTATTATTGTGTGATTTTTCTTGATAGAAATGTTTTAATTGTCATGATCATCCTGTTTTTTTCCAAGCAATTCCATGTAATTTCTTTTACAAAATATTAATCAATTTAGTTGTTGTTTTTGAAAGGTCCTTAAATTTCTTTTGGAAATGGTATTTCAATAATTACTGTGCAAGAAAGAACGAGTAACTCATGATGATATACATGTATCATAATTCTCCAACTTTTGTTAAGCTTTATGTGATTTTCTTTCAGGTTTTGCTTTTGTTGTAGCAGTTTGGCATGTCAGCCACAAAATATGGGAGAAGTTTTGTAAGTTGATGTCTTTGCTTATGAGGATTTAATAATAATAATAATAATAATAATAATCATGTTATAAGGTTAACTGGTTTCTTGATTCTTGGTTATTTCAGCCCTAACCATTAGATCACCAAACTAGGAGTAATCATGGATTAGTGAAGTGCATGCAATCTAGCTTTAGAATGAATATTTTTGTCATGGCATAACAAATTCCAGTTTTGATTAAATCTATGAACATTGATTGGAAGCTTATACAGCTTAGAGTTCTGATCTGTGGTAACTCCTTTCATTTGATCAAATTGTTGCAGTTTATCTTTACATCTTCCCATGGCATCTAGACCAAAGCAAGTCCACCAATGGGAGTTCACTTAGTAGCAGGATTCAAAGCTCTTGTATGAAATCAAGGGAAGGGGACTGCTAGTTTAGCATAGCATCTAGAAAAGAGCAACACAAGTAGTATCAAATGCAAATATCAATATTGACGAAAGGTCATTGCCTGCAGCAATGGGGTGAAATCGCTAAATGCTTAGTGTGTGCTTTTTTAACCTCAAAAATTTCGAAAAGCATGACATAGCAAGGTACAATAGAGAAGGAAGTATTCTTAAGCTATCATCCAATGTCTTCTCTATACTCTGTTTAAACATTTTGTTTTCTATTTTATTGTAGATTTGTCTGGCCATTGTGGCAATA